TCTAACCCTAGTGTGTGAAAAAATTGCCACAACTATATGGACAAAGTTGTTCATAAATGTCAAGTAAGTGGTTCTTTTTAAGTACAGTCAAAGTATTTTAAAAGGAAAAAAAAAAAATAGATTTTCTTTATATCAGGATAGCAACCTAATATCAAGGAAACTTCACCTTGGTAAAAAAAACAGTGTCACATGTAAATAGTACATGTAATTTTGTAATTTATCAGACAAAATGCAGTCTGGGCTACATTAAGAAAAACTGTAAAGTTTAAAGGACATAAGAATTTGTGTACCTTTGGCAAAAAAGATTACTACACAGTGTAAATATTTTACCTAAATTTAGTAGAAAATATATTCATTTTTGATAGTTTATCTCAAGCCAATCCATAAACAATTTCAGGTTTTCCACTCTGAAAAGCTGTTGGGTCATTGGGAATATTCATTCAAAAGAACACATGGCTGGATGTAAACCACTGAGTCTACCCTGTTTCTACTTAAAACTACTTATGTTCCTATCACTGTTCAAATGCTTTCTGGAGAACTGTTCTTGAGCTATACTGGTGTGTTGGAAATCTTTTAATCTGCAGTCTACACCATTTATTTCTCATGGCAGTTCTTATCCACCTGAACAAATACTGCTTTTAACTTGAATTATACTTTTTATGCACTGGTTTCAGCTGGTTTCAGGGAGAAAATTTATTTTCTTCATGGTGCCTGGCATAGTTTTTTATCTGATGCATTTACAGTAAAACAATATATTCTCTATTTTTAAGTTCCTAGGCTTCTGATTCTTAGTTTATTAAGCCTGACCGCTGTTGGCTTTGCCACAGACATGAATTCTTATTCCTGGAGCTGCCTGGAATGTTCCTCCTTGCACATTCACACTCAGACAAGCACATCACTACCATGAAATCGACATTCATAAGACCTGCATTGGTACCTACTGTTCCATGGAACTTTCCTAACTGCAAAGGAGGGAACCCCCACAGTTCTCAGAATAGCAACTTACTGCAATACTGGGCAGCGGCTCCCTGTGATTCAAGAAGTCCTAGGCTGCTTCTCATATTTATAGTGAGTGAAATGTAGGTATTTGCTACAGTAACACATCCAGTGAAGCTGAAAGTTCTGTAGAATAGCAGAAGAAAGTTACATCACAAAACCCAATCAAATGTTATATTGTGTGTATGTATTCTAACATCATACATGTTGGCTGAGATAATCCTCTGAAAAACAGAAAGTAAGTAGCAGACATCAGTATAAAGGAGAGTACATGAACAAGAAGGTGAATTTACTGAAATGACCTGTGCATGAGTTGCTGCACGTGGTTCAGTTGTAACGGAGTTCTTTTTTTTTTTCATATGATGAAAATGAATATGGTTTATATGATGCTGTGCTATCCATTTGTGTCTAAAATAGAACTAATATTCAACTGGCATTTTGACAATCATTCAACAAAGTGCTAAGGCTTTCTCTTTTTTCCCACTCCGCCTCCTCAGCAAGTAGGCACACAAGAAACTATGAGAGGTCAAGACCTCATTTGATCCCAAAAGGATAGGCCACACCCTATGGCACTGTGCTCAGCAAGGAAAGCTGGGGGAACAGATGAGAAAGGGGTATGATGTTCAGATCACGTTGCTCAAGTACCCATTAAGTGCAATGAGCCCTGCTTACCTGGAATTGCCTAAACATCTGCCTGCTGGGAAGGAATGAAGGAGCTCTCTATTTTGCTTTGCTTGTGTGCACAACTTTCATTTCACCTATTAAATTTGATCTAAATTTTGATCTAAACTCATCACTTTGGCCCCTCCAATTCTCTTCCCCACCCCAACCTGCTGCAGAGGTGTGAGCAAGCGGCTGTGTGGATGCCTAGTTACTGGCCAGGGCAACCACTACAGTCACTGAAGTATCTCCAAATGTTGCAGCGTCTACAGTGAAACTGCCAGACAGCTAATAAGAAAACATATTGATAGCTGATACAACAATCTGCACATATAGTTTCAATGTTAACTTAGCCAGGCAGTAACAATCTTTCCCTTATGAGCAGCACAATCTTTAAAACTTGAAATATACATCAATTAAGTAGTAACAAAAAGTACATGGTCTTCTTGTCTCAATGAATGTATTAGACATAATTTGATGATGTAAGGATAATTTGATGATGTAAAACTGAACACCAAGATTTAATAAAGGAGCATGTATCTGCATGACTATGGAGGACATGCTTGAAAACTTCGTTAAATCAAATGATATAAATAAGCTGAATGTTAATATGCTATCATTTTAAATATGACAATAAGTGTGTTTTAACTCTTACTTTCACAGCTAGAATTATATATAGAAATAATTAGATATAAAACTAGAAAGTGAATGAAGTTTTCTTTCTGTAAGTTTTTTTTTTTTTTTTTTTTTTTTTTTTACAGTTTCAAAAGGTATAATTTTTTTTTTGTTGTTTGCTTGTTTTCACCTAATGATCACCACTTAGTAATCACATGATAACATTAACAACACACAAGTCTTCTGAACACTTACTTTGAAGTAAGTGTTGGACTTGATGGAATAGATTCATGCCCTCATGTGGAGCCAACAGTAAGCAGTATACAACCATTCACTGTTTTTAACCAGTACTAAAAGCGTCTTACTTTCCCCTAACCACCAATCAATTAATTTGCCAACCACTCACTGGCTCTGGGACAATGCTCCCATAACCCCGTTCCACCTAACTCAGTCATTAACTAGGTTAGGGGAACATTTCCCTTGTAAATGAATCCCCTAAGCATTTTCAAACTTTTTTTTTTTTTTTCCCCTCCCAGAAAAAAAAAGAGAACATACTTATTTTTCTTCATGTACAATATTTCTCTCTAAATATAAACAAACCTCATGAACCACTTTGAGCAGGTAAAGATATTCTGGTCTGCACAAAACTAACTGCTAAGGGAAAGCTTTGGCGTGTGTTACAGAAATGAATAATAATAGCAGTATGATGATTCCGACTCTTTTTAAGTACTGTCCTTCATTTTGTTTACCTCAGCAGAGAAAGGAAATAGTAAAAACAGGATGGATCCACCAGTCAAGATCAAACTAATCACACACCCACTTAGCCTGACCCTTAAGCCATGAGAATGAGTAAGACTGAAATCTGTGTAATTTTAAGGAGTGTGAAAGATCAGCAAAAGATATTGCTTATGAGAGTCACTACAAAGCTTGTTTGAGTAACTACAAGACTAGCTAGAATTGGCCTATCTAGCTAGAAAACATGGGTAGACAAGCTTCAGCTGTACTAAAAACTGTGCCATATAAATACAAGCTGTGTTAGAGATGGTGGTCATTATGGTGGGTATCAGGACGAGCAGCTCTGCTTAAGGCTCACAATAGATTTAGATTATCTCTAGGGCTTTGAAGTGAGAGTTGTTTGGATAAAAAAATCCATGAACTAATCATTAATGGCTTGCATAAAGTCACTTCTAGATGAGAATTTCCATATTATATAGATGGGCAGTGAATGGAGACATTTTCAAATCAGGAATGATGACAACAATTAGGGCAGTTATTAGAGGAAAAAAGAAAAGAAAAAAAAAAGATGCAAAGATAGAAGATACAGTAAAAACACGAAATATGGAGAAGATGTATATAAGCAACTTATTTCCTAAACTTGTACAGAGAAAAGTGGAATGTTTTCAAGACATCATGGAAGATGAAGTGACCACAGAAAACGTTTCCTCTGCAACCACAGAGTTCTCTCTATTTCGTTCATATTGAGCACATCAATTTAAAAGAAGTATAATGAACATTTTCAGTCTAAGAATTTCTCTCTTTTAAAAGGGCAAGTTAACTCATTTTTAAATGAAGAATAAATATTAGGGATCAGCTAACCATCACAGGAAGAAATATTACTGAATTGTCTCAGCCATTTAACATAAAAATGGCACTACTGGTACAAACCAAAAAGTTCATGTAGCCACATAATCTGCCTAGAAATGGATAACAGAGAACTGAATGACAAAAGGGAGAGCATGTTTTTGCCAGTGTTACTTCCTGTGCAACTGTATCAAAATTCAGAAAATAGTTTGGGTTAGGGGAGAACTCTTTATACTAAATTAAGAAGAGTGTATGTAAATGGAACAAATATTTTACATGTAAAATTGAGGTGCAGTTAAATGGTTAGGGCATTAAGTTCTAAAAATATATTGAAAATGTGGCAAAAAAAAAACAAACTGTAAGAACATTTTTTTGACCTGCAAAAAGCATACTTGAAATTGTAACTATAGTTTCTAAACAGACAAACAATTAACTTCAATAGGCAAGTAATATAATGGCACACAGATTTAGCATTACAAAGAGAACATTACACTTTTTAGTTCAGAAGATATGTTTTCCAGTCCTCCCAAGACTATGCAGCAAATATTTAGAAAATATACCTATTTTGTCCTCCTGCAATTTTGTGCATTTAGGAAATTGATTTTTTTGAATTTTATGAATATAAATTCTGCATTTAATAAATGCTTTATTTATGTACAGGCATAGATTTTACAAGTGAAAAAAAAACCTGCTCAATAATTTCCATTAGTTAAAATTTACTAGAGAAATACTTCATATTTCTAACTATGCTTTCTATACCCCCAGCTGAATTCAGAAGTCACTGCAGTATGAGCAAAAATCCCCAAAGTTCTGTGCTGAAATCTCCATGGGCAGTATACGTCCCTAAAAACTTTTAAATTTGCTAGCTTCTTTTTAAAGCACTGTTTATGGTCAATACCGAAATAAATTCAAGAGTCAGCAAGAAATAAATAGTTGGGTCCTCAAAATAGAAATCACAAACTGTCTTTGTATGGAACAAACACACACAAATATTATAAGCATTTCCATTTTAGAACTGCATATTCAAAAATAAACGTTAACAAAAATAATTTATTTCATAAATTTCACTGCTAAAATCTGTATGCATTGACCACTACAAAGTAAAGCAGACAAGTGGAAAGTGCAGTTAATTGCCAGAATCCCTTTACCTGTGTGCCAGCAGCACCCTGAAGGTCATCTGATTCAGTCCCAAACAACTTGACAGCAAGTCTGACCAATCCCAGTTCCATTCAGTAATGGTTGACTGTTGATACATGGCAAGAAGCTTTTGTTAGTTATTAATCAGTGTTAATATCATCAGTAAATTAAAGCTCCAGCTGTGACATAGTAACCATGAAGGAGGGGGGCCTAGAACAAGGGCTTAGACAGATGATATCAATCATGTCCACAGTAGAAGGTTTTTATTCCAGTAAGACAGCAACTAATTTACAAATCCATTTGGGAATGTAACCATTATTTAGAAAAAGATACATCAATTTTTTGAACCGTTATTCTTCCAACTGTTAATGGCATTCTGCCCAACCACTTTGTCTGAAAGCTTGACTCTTTGTTTGAAAAGCAAAGTAATTGGCAACTTTTTATGTAACAGCAATTTATATTTTCTGCTATCGGCAAAAGTTTGTAATGAAAAACATAGTGCAGTTAGTTACTTAGTTTCTAAGTGTAACCTATATCTTAATTAGAGAAGGATGGGTTTACTTGTTTATTTTTCTGTAAGGCACTCTGTTCACCAGATTTTTATTATAAACACACCAGTAAGTCTACACTTAGTCATACAATTATGTACTCTTTATTTAATAAATGAAAGTGATGTATAATGATAGTGGGTAGACAAAAGACCACACACAACATTCTTAAGTTTTTAAAATAGTAACTCCTGTTGCATAATATTAATTTTAATTGTCAGCACTGATCAGCAAAGGAATCATTCAAAAATTATTACTGTAGTACCAAAATAGCACTGAGCAGTTTGAAAAAAAAAAAGATGAAGTCAGTCATAACAATGAAAATACAGCTAAATAAAAAGACAGAAGTGTGCCATGTATATATTTTTCTTCTTACAGAAGAACTTGGTTCTTCTGGGACAGCAATTCCTCCAGGTAGTCCCTCTCTCCTTCCTCTCATCTTAATTTTATCCCCTTGTTTCTTCTCATTTAATTTTCTCACTAAAGCTCATCTCTGGCATGCACTTAAAAGTACCTTTCAAAAAGAAGGGTGAAGTACAGTCAGAGAGGGAGACAAGACTAGCTAAAGAGAGAATAATAAAGTGAAAATGGAAAGTAAATGACGAAGTAACAGAATATCTGATAAGCAAGAAATAGAATGATTCAAGGGAGAAAACAGTAGGAGAATTCAGGGGAGAAAACAAGCAATTGTTCAATATTCTACAATAAATCAGAAATAGAAAAACAAATATGGAGGGAATGCCTGTAAAGTCAAGAACAATAAAAGGGAGAAGCTGAACTGACATTATCAACAGTCATAAAGACATTTAGGAAAGTTTATAAGCACATAGGAGTTTTAAACTCAGTGTACCAGACTGATTTGTCCTGTGAAAAAGATACAGAATATAAAATAAAACCAAAAGAAATATAAAAACCAAAGAAATGAAATACCAATCAAACATGAAACCAAGCACAAAAACACTTTAGGAAAGGATAATTATTTCTTTAAAATATTTTCCTTTATTGCTACCGTTGAAGAGTTGTACAGGCTGGACTTAATCTTATTAGACAGTAGAGCAGCAGCACTGGCAGAGACTGAGGTGTCAGGACAAATTGATAAAATCAAGAGCAACAAGTTACTAGGACCAGATGGCGATTACTCAAAATTTTTGCAGGAATGTAAGAATGAAATAGCTGAATTGTTAACAGAAATGACACACTTCATAGAATCAGCTACTGAATTGAGGGTTGGAAGATAGGAAATTTACATATCTTTAATATAAATTGCAGTTGATCTCAAAATAGGAGGTCAGCGGCCTTTGTTTCAGGAACATTATAACTTGAAGAAATTATGATTAGGAAACTTGCCAAATATGGCATGTTGTGGATAAATTAGCAAAAATTTAGGACAGAAAAGTCAACCACCCTAAATAATGTACAGCAATTTTTACAGAGACTGAAAAGCAACACATTAAATATTTGCTATAAATTATCTTTCAGAAAATTTTGGAAATAATTTTCTTTAAAAAAATCCTCTGCTGGGGAAGTGAAGAGTATTTACACTGTGCAGTATACCACAGTGTAATACAAGCATTCCTGGTAAGGACTCAGGTCTCACAGGAAGTATTGCCTATTCAAATTGGTCCTTCTGCAAGAAAAACAATTAAATGCAATATAGCTCACTGGCAAAAATATGCTGTGAAATCAGGATAGTTCCAAGACATGGAATTTACTGAGGAGCAAACATTATTTCCTGTACTGAAAACACACTGATTCACATTAGACTTTAAGAAAAATTGTCAGTTTTAAAGAAACTTGTCAGTTTCATGGCAGTTGTCAACCACTAAGAATGAATGTAAGAAAACTTATATTCCATGAGAAAAATAATTGTTCACTGCCCAGAAAGGTGGTGGGTGCTCACTGGAAGCATTTGAGGTCAGGCTGGACAGGGCTCTAAGCAATCTGACCGAGTTATAGATGTCTCTGTTCATTGCAGGGGAGTTGGACTAGATGGCCTTTAATGATTCCTTCCAAATCAAATGATTCTATGATTTCAGAGAAGTACTCTGGTATCAGACACTGAATTACACTGGCTCCTCCTTAATAAACTAAATCCCACACCACTAAATAAATGCACAATTTTGTAATAAAGGAAACTGAAGTACTTAATGATATTGTTAAGATCACAAAATATGCCCATTATTATGAATAACAGGGTTGGCACATGGTGCTTTATAAAAGCTCTGTGATTTATTATACTTTTCTTAATTCTAAAACACTTTCCTGTATTCTGATAATAGATTTTATGCCAAAGATTTATAAAAATGTAAAGCAATTTAATACAAACTATCCATTGTCATGCACTGACTAATAGAGCACTGCAAACCTGTCATGTAGCAGAAAAATTCTATGCTGAGTTGCCACTACTTGAAGGTCTTAATCTAGCACACTATTAATGAATTGAGAATTGAGGCATGGTAAACTATTTTCAGAACTTCAGATGGGAGTAAAGTTACACCCTCTTGAATTCTGCCAAGCAAGCACTTTTAAGGAAAAGACACTTTAAAACATGTTCCTCTGGTGTGAGAAGCCTTGTGAAACTGGTACTAATCTCTTTTTTCAGGATATTACCAGTTTGATTGCGACATGACAGTGATTAAGCATCGATTAAACAAGTAGGAAAAAAAAAAAACAACAAAAAAAAAACAAAAAAAAAGTAAAACATACATATTTTACTGCAATGAAGCTGGTGAAATAGTTCAAAATGGATACAGTGCAAAAAGCAGATGATGCAATTTGAAAACAAAGTTGCTCCGGAAAATGGCATCTTTAGACCAAAAGTATGAAAAGTAATTGAATTTCATGCAGCTCTAATACATTTATTCTTAAATATTTCAAATTGTAGGGGAAGAATCAAAACTATGGATAATTGGTTAAGAAGCCTTGAGAAACTATGGTGAAAGAATTTTTAGTTGTCCAAACGCTTCCTGAAACTGCAATTCATTCTGTGAAACAATTAGTTATGTGGTTCTCTGGGAGAGATTTTGGCAACTAGATATATTCTCTTAAACTCTTATAAAATCAGGAAAGTGATTTCTATAGGTAATTTATAATCCTTTTCTTACCATTAGCATAGCTTACGCAAAACACAAAAATGCCTCCTTTCATGCCTTCTCCCCTCTCCCACTGACTTTGAGTTTTGAAAGTTTACATTAATGAACAGTAATTTACATTACTGTTCAACATTTCTGTGAAAGACTCATCAGGTAAGATTCTAAATATGCATTCGGCATACTGCCATGACTTCTCAAAGGACTAAGGCTAGCCCCATGTACCATTACACAGATATAATGGCACATCATTGCTACTAATAGGTTTTTCTGCACTATACAGAGCCAACACAGAAAGTCTAAGTTTTAAATTGCTCTTATATGCAGTAATTCTGATAAAAGAAAAAGACAATAATGGCTTTTCAAACACCATGATATTGTAGAGGCTGCCCTCATTAAATTCCTGAGTAAAAATATCCCTTTGCACTTCATCAAACTCAAACTCATGTAATCAATTCCTTTTTCATAACTTTAGTCTCTGTCATTATCACGATCATAATAAGACTGAAAAATAAAAATTATACTATAACCACAGTTTCAGATTTTCACAAACCTGATTGAACACTTTCACACAAGACTGGCTGTGCACCTGGAAGGGGTTGAAGACAGCTTGCTCCTCTTTGCCCTTCAGTGTCAAAAGCAAGCTTTGATTGGAAGTTACATTCTCTTCAGGAGAATTCTCGTAAGACAGTTGCTCATTCAAATATTGCTTAAAATGAAAAACAAAAGAAACAAACAAAATAAAATGCATGGAACAATACACACCACCTATTCTTGTTAGTGAAATCTGCCCAAATTTCAAGCATCATTTTACTACGCACTTGATAGAAATTCCTTATATTGAAAGAAGGAATAATAAATCTCTCTCAAAATACAAATATTTTCAAGATTAACAAACAATAAATAACCACCCCCCATGAATACCAAGTTGAAGCAAACCAAAATAATCTAAGCTATTGTTTTGAAATAATCATCAACTTATGTTTATTTGTTCTTGGTATATTCATTAGGTATATGTAGAAGTGAAAAACAAATGTTTCCTATAAGATATCGTAATGTATTATAGCTATTCTTGTATATGAAAATGTACACAGTAATATTTGTTTATAAACAGCACTGCGTTGAATAATTACTACATAACTATAAATGAATTGTTCAATGAAAGTATCCAAATCGGTTGTTGAAACATAGGAGGTAAACAGTCTACCATTCTTCAGAGCCACTTTTGATTATTTAAACATTTGAAGATTAGAAGTCATCTATGATTTACACGGCAATTTTATAAACTATAGTGTAGCAGACACATTATTCTTTTGGCCTGTTTTCACTTCTTAAACTCCTCTGTAAATAAACCATCACTGCATGCCAGTAAAGTGTTTTGATTAAATAGTACCATATTACAAATAGCTACATAAAGAAACACAGGTCTACTTACTGGAAGGACTATTGTGATTAAACAGTTTATCAATATTAAAATTAAGTCCATAATGATAGGATTGCTATAACATTGAGCAAGTGCTCAAGGTGAGTCTTCATTAAGATGGAAGGATGCAAATATTATTTTGTAAAAATACTGAGCTAATAAAATAATTTCAGACTCAGGTGAGGGGGTGTGTAAACTACCTGCCAAGCCACTGAGCTTCTCAGTGGATAATTTCATCATCAGCTTAAACTGATCTAACTGTGGTCTGGCTTGAAAGGCACAAATTCCACCTCAATCCACATAGATTGTAGTTTTTTCTCCCTTGTGTTGGCACAAGCATGTGTTGTGAAATTATCCAGAAAAAAATAAAGGTTTCAACCAGATAAGCAAGTCACATGATTTCTAGTATTTGTACAGAGGATGCCCTAGGACTGGGAAATCAGAGTCAAGATATAAAGTAGGTCTGTCTGTTGGTTGCAACCAATTGTCAGGACTGCTTAAACAATCATGAAATCATCTAAGTGTATTTAAAAAAATAGATCTCCGTGCTTTTTTAGTTTAAAAAAACCCTGTAATCCAGATGTGCAAATGTATCTTCAGTCTTTTACCTATATTTTCCCAGCCTTGAGAAGCTTTTTTTTTCCTCTTTTTCTCCATTCATTACTCTGTGCCATAGCAAAGATTTCTTAGTCGTAGTAAGGTGGGGTGACTTAAATGATATTTCTACGTCTACACCAACTTGACTTAAAGTACCACCTCATAGGGATGCATTTTCTCAATTCTAAAGCAACTCAGACATTTGGTTGTCACAGCTCCAGCAGAAGAATCTGTTGTCTTTTCAGAAGAAAGTTGGAACTTGCTTACGTCATATGTGGTATAGATTTGAATGTATCAAGTGGCTTAATTCCCAACATAGCGATTTTCATTTCTTTCAACTAGAATCAGAGAATCACAGAAAGGTTTGGGTTGGGAGGGACTTTTAAGACCATCTAGTTCCAATCTCCCTGCTATAGGCAGGGACATCTCCCACTAGACCAGCTCGCTCAAAGCCCCATCCAGCCTGGCCTTGAGTGGTTTCAAAGAGGTGACATTCACAGCCTCACTGGACAGCCTCTTCCCTTACTCGGAAGTATAGTGCTTACTACTGTACTATAGATTTATGTTTTTTTGACAAAGAGACTTAATCAACAGTGGTAAATGCATTAGTTTAAGGACTGCTATGGTGCAATACACACTGCAGACCCAGAAAGGCTTGTGTTTCAAAAAAAGTGAGAACAAAAAAATGAAATCATAATTGTAATCAAGTAAATTGTATCCCTTCTACTGATGACTGCACAGGAAACAAACCAAACAGTATTTGTGAGCTAGGCAGCTCAGGAGATTTGGTTTTCCTTTGGCAGCCATTAGTGAAAATTAGCTTTAAAAATAATTATTCTTCTTGATAAATACATACCTTCATCCATAGACCATTTTGAGCTCTACAGTATCTGTAATAGATCTTTATTACATTTATTTCCAAACATAGCTTCTAAGAATTTATTCATCTTCTCCCCTGCCTTTCTAAGGAAAATTATTGAGCCACAATTTTCTGTCTCATCGTTTTGTTCTCTATTCACCTGCAATTATAAATCATTGTAGCAGAAAGATCTCCAAACTCAATTTAAGAACATGACCTTTGGCAGTCCCAGGAGTCTAAGAAGGAAAGCACAGACCTTCTAACAGGGAATCCAGTCTATATTTTGTTGTTGTTGTTGTTGTCAGCTGCATTTAACAATCTAAAACATGAAAGATAATACTGAAAATGCATAATATTATGCTAAGTACAAAAATGTGTTGTAATTGTTTCAATAGATGAGTGGAAGTAACATTTTTATACCCTATGCTGATCAGGATTTTTTTTATTATTATTATTTTTTAAGTCAAGACAGGTTTCTTCCACTGAGAAATGTTCTATTTTTAATGCAGCTCTTACTAACAGCACAAAATCAAGGAGAGACACCTGGGATGTGGAAAGATAGGCTAAGGTCCCTCTTCCATCTAATTCTCTCAGCCTTTCACCTCCTATTGGAGCTGCTCCACTTTGTATAAATAACTGAATACTCAAAGGACTCAGATCTTGATTCAGGGTCTCCAGAACCTGATACGGGCATTCTACCTTTTCAATTAGAATATGATTCCATCTTTGACCCCAGAAGTTGCAGAATGGATTTTTATAGCAATTTCTGAAAAATGAAACAATTCCATTAGGGGAAAATGATGAAGTTCCACACAGTTAGCTAAAGCTCTATCAGTTTGGGCATTTAGTTTGGATATAGATAAAGGATTGAGCCTGCATATCTAGTCCCTTTGGTGACTGCCCTACCTACTGCATTATGTGCTATTTTAAGAGGTCTTGCTCACAATCTTTTCTTCACTTTATTATACTAGGAGTAATCCTGAATGTGCTCCAGGTGAAAAGGTTTTGTTTGAACTGTATTACAGTGATAATTTTCACTTCACTTCATGAACCATTTAATTGTTTGAGATGAAACTTGAAAAGACTCTGTATTGTATTAATATTAGGTTGCCATCTCTACATACATGCTTATATTGCTTCTAAAAGTTCAAAATGCAGATGTGAAAAGTTTGCTTTTAAGCCTGTTCTTAGGAACTAAACTGTTGATCTGATTTTCAGAAGCTTTATACTCACCTACCTAATTGGTTTTTTTGCTATCAAATTTTTCTAAGTCTTGGACTATGCCTGTATTTGCATTATTTTGCATTTTATTATAAACACTTATGTACACTGGAAATGATCTTAACAGCCCCTGCTTATGCATTCAAGGAATAGTAATTTAGTAATTAAAGCTAATGAACAGAACTTTCTTAATTAAACTGTGTAGATCTGTGTTATCATACAACTTAAGCAAACCTGTGTTTACTTCAGTGTATATAATAAGAACGCTTCTGGTAACTTGTGTCAGTTCAGTACAGCCTCAGAAATAATGAGATAATTCTTTTATCTTGCCCAAATTCCATGTGTAGCAAACAAATCTGAATTTGTTCACTGTAATTTTGAAAGTACTTTAACTAAGCAGAGTTCTGTAGCTGAAGCAAGGTTTCCATTTGGATGCATTTGCTCTCAGTGCAGCCATGGGGTTTATTTGTTTGTTAAATCAGAAAATTGATTTACCACATTTAATTATACTTCCTGTAACAGCCAATTTTTCAATAGCTTTGCTGCTTTTTTCAGTTATTATTATTTTTAACTGTGCTTAAACTTTTAAAATGCATTTGCCACCTACAGTACAAACCTAAAGGAAGTTTATGTGCCGTAATACTGTTTGAGTACATAAATAAAATCTACTCTGTTTTCTCATAATCATCCTACATCAACATAGAAAAGCCTGAACCGAATGGATTCTATTACAGTACAATACAGGATTTCATATTGACTTTAAGAAGCATTATCACCTCCTTGACTAACCCTTAGCTGCCAGCAGAAGCTGCCTCAGGCCAGTACACACCTAATTGCTCGGTAAAAAGGCCGTTTCCCTACCTCATTGAGCCGAATGATGTGATAAATTTGCCTCAGGTACTTGCTGCCACCTGGTTTGTGGCAGATATCCAGGACCATCATGTTTATTTTCTGCTCAGTGAATCCAAATGCAATGCCTTCTTGCTCTAACACTGCACCTTCTATTGGATCCGGGCCACTAGAATATGGAAAATATGAAGTTATCCTTGAATTTCTAAAAAATCGAAGTATTAATGCAAAGAGAGCTAAAAATACATATAAAATACAAATAAATATTTGGCTTGCGCAAAACAAATGTTGCTACACACATTTCTGAAACCTTTACACTAATAAATGCTAAACAGTTAAATGCTGATTAAATACAGTATTTTTTAATTACATGAATTTTAACAATTTTTATCAGAAAGATTGAAAACATAAAACATTCTTTACTCTAAGGGCATACAAAGAGCAAATATTTTATTATTTTCTTTTCCACTAGAGAAGTATCTCTGCTACTAGGAATAGCATTTGCATTCGATCTTTTGTACATTTTTCTTTGCCTGTCACCGCTCATATTAAAGCCTAATTAACATGTCAGAAAGGTAGCCATTACTTTAAGTATAGGTTAGAAATTTCAAAATGAAGTCTTTTTCTTTCCACTGGTATAATGGTAACCATTTCAAAGGTATATTTCGCCACTTGTTGCACATTCTGCACTGTATTTTTCCTTGTTTTCCTTTTCTTGTTTTCTGTCTAATTACAAACAAACGAACAAAAACAACAACCTGATGGTGACAGGCCTAAAAGCCCTGAAAAATGTTCATTTGAAACTCTGGCCATTATTAGACTGCTGTCTGCACAAAAACATAAGCTCACGGCTCTGTAGTTGCTTAGTGTTATAGTGTTATAGGTAAAGTATAAGAAAATATTACAAAGACTAATTATTCTCTTCAAATATTTGAGTTGCAACCATCAGATGTACGCTGGTATCCAAACATGTCAAGAACCTAACAGACCAACAGAATATATTATGCTTTCTACAATCATTATACGATTAACTTAAAATCTACAATAGAAGCTTTCGGGCTGAAAAAGCCCACAACATTTTACTTTGGAACTGTCAGTTTGCAGGCCGAAAATGTGCCATGATTACAAAGTTAGTTCTTCTCAGAGTTGTTGTTCGACCTGAAGGCTGACTTAAATTCTGCACAGCTGACACTGCTTCCACATGCTGCTTCAGAACTTCCTACAGATCAAACAGCTTCAAAATATAAACTATAATTTTGTTCTTTGCTGAATGGAAGTAAATGATACTCTGTTATTATGGTGTATTTTACAGAAAAGCTTCACAGAAATTGATCTTCAAAATTAAAGCACACTTAAGGCTTATCTTTCAATGCCACATATAGCTATAACCTGAATCTTGTCACACTTCTCAGAGATTGACATTGAAAAAGTTGAGGACCTCTGACAAAGGAGTGTATCAGTGTCAGCACCCAAATTGTATCCTTTCCTGCCCGTCAGTGTGCAGGTGAAGCAGATGATTGGATTCAGTCAGTGCTATGATTAATGAGTTCCTCTCTGGATTTGGGACTGCCTATCAATCATGTCATTAGGAAGAATGTGCCCTGAAAGAGGCAGACCTCAGCCAAGGAATAACTGCATTCATCTTAATCTGTGTATGCACCCAGCCAGCCAAGTCAGGGTCACCATGATGAAAAACAATAATCTTCAACTCAACAAATTACTTTCCAAAGACAGGCATTTCTCCTCTTTTTGGGCAGTGTGCTCTTTAGAATCTAATGTGACTGTTTACAGCTCTGGTGATACTATGAAGTGAAGGTTATTTTAATGAATAGTAATGCTTTCAGGCAGTGCACAGGACAGCCAGTGCATACAACTGCCACTTTCTGAACCTTTCCCCGCATGTCTCTTTTCTCCTAAAAGGTAAGTTGAATATTTATGCCAAAATGGATGAACCTGTATCACATTCACAACTTTATGCTGCCAAGTCCTGATAACAACACAGTAACATAAAATCACATGAGACTTTCTCTTATAAAAGTCTAGCGTACTTCAATGTTCTTCTCCACAACTGTGTCTGCGAATCACACATGTATGTTTAGATGGTATTCTTTTTATTTTATTCCACACACTGTAGGTATTTGTTCCGCATACTGTATGTACTAAAGGTCTATAAACATTTATTAACATATATATAAATGCATGTATATACATTTACTCACAAAATCAGTTACTTGCGAAAGGGTTATATAGACCATAATTTTACTAAGATGTAGATTTTTAGATATAACCATTCCTATTTCAAATTAATCACATAAACACCACAATGGTCTTCTTGAAAGATCTTTTTCTCTAGTGACTAGGTGACTGTTACCTAGTTTAAATATTTGAAGTTCAGATTTAATTTATTGGTATTACAATTTGTGTGTATAACAGTATTTTATTTCCACACTGCATATCTCACCTTTTAAATACATTTTTCTTGGAGTATTGAATATAAAATAGAAAAATAACATTTATGCAAGGCTTCTATTGCAGAAACACTTCTGAAATCAGAAAACAGTTTCCTAACTGCAAGATGTATCTACTCCTTCAGAGAACAAGTAATATGTTCTTCAGTTCTGTATGCTTAAAATTATGAGCCCTAACCATAAACTAGTTCTCGCTTTGAGAGACACTGTATGCACACACAAGAAATATTTTTCCAGTGTCTCATAGCTGATGTGAATTAAAAATTATTGCATTTTTTGTTATATCTTAGAAAATAAAATTGACTACTCTATGAGAATTCTCAGCTTCAAATATTAAAGCTTCAGTTTTTAGAGGTCATTCCAATCTTTGTCTTACCCTATATTTGCATTATTTAAAAGACATCTATTCTCAGTAAGTTCGCTTGCATTAAAAAAAAATCCTGTTAAATATTTCCAGATTTTATACATTATAATGTTTTTATTTTATCCTATGACTGTTTCAGTGGCTGGCATCTAGCTTCAACCTGCTACCCAACTGATTAGAGAATTTGAGTTAAATGGAAATGTAAAAGAACACAAAACAACGTTACTTTCAGTTGTCAAACATTAAATTCACTAAGAGAGGTAACTCCTATAAATCTATTACTGGGAAGCTGATGAACAGTGTTTTCATAGAATGATACACCACTTCAACGGTAAACAGGACTACAAATACATTGATATGCACAGAACTCCTTGAAAACTCATTATAAGGATTTAAAAACTTGGACCTAAATGTCAAATCTGCAGGGAAAGTTGGTATTTCCTCAGAAAATCATAGCAGGGTAGTTTCCTTGTCCTGTTTTGATACGCCCTACTTGCCTGTAGGGCTAGATGTGTTTTAAAAGGAAGTATGCTTACTTTCTAATCTCAGATGAAGATGGAAAGCCTGTTATAGTCTGTCTTAATTTAATCACTATAGCAAAACTCATTTATAAATGCTCTGGGTTGCCCTCTAGTCAGCATATTTGTTAGAATTCTGAAAGATACGCCAACTAAACTGTCCATGCTTTTGGTTAATTATGAACACATGAGAAAATATGAAACATAATAACATGAAACAAAATATGAAATATATGAAACATTTTAAGTACTATGAAAATACTGTTAAGATGAAATAACTACAGCTGTTTCAGCCACACAGTTAACTTGCAAAAATATACCATAAAGCCATCAATATTAAGATGTAATTCATTTCATGTAATATAAGATCACTGTCCCTCTAAATATTTTTTAAATTGAACAACAGCCATGAACACGTCATTAATTCAGTAAAATAAAGAACAAAAACAGAACTTCAGAAATACTGCATTCTTACCAGTCTGTGCTCAGTTTTCTTGCCTTTAGCAACTGACTTTCAATCCAGTTTGGTCTTTGCTGTTCTATGCTCTGTATAACCTTCTGGGTCACTTGTTTAGGACCACTTTTCTGTTTTCCCATAATACTTTCTAAGCACACACGAACTAAACTGAGTTTTTCTTTGCTCCATCTGTCAAGTGTTGCACCTGTTAAAAGTTCTGCAGTATTTCCATCCTCAAATATCCGACATATAATTACAATCAAGTTCCAGACAAGCAGACCAGCTTTCTTCAATTCAGCAAAGTTTCTTGACATTTTTCTCTCAGCCAGAAAAAAGAAGTACTTAATTGGGGGAGGCAAACATGCAATCACTGTAGGTAACTTGCTGATTACAATAGATACTGCCTGAGCTGCAAGCCTTGTGAAGCCTTAAAAAAAGACATAAAAGAAGATATGATTAACATTAACATTCTAGTTCTATCACAGCATGTTTCTGAATATTGTCTGATAATTTCTAACTTTCTTTTGTACTGAAAATGGGTAAGAAGCTTAAGTACTCAGCACTGTGGCCTGACTTGTGTTATACCTCCCATATATATATCCCCCCAAATCTAAACAATAACACAAATTAAATAGAGAACCTAGAAATTATGGACTTCACACTGTGACTATGTTAACAATTATTCTTACTGCACACAGCTAATACAGAATAAATGAAGTAGAAAACATCCAGGTATTCAGAACAGTAAACACAACCTGTCTTCAGAACTGTAGTGCAACATTTTTTCCAAGAGTGGAGCATTGCAATAAATGTCTTAGGACATTGCATTTATTCATATTGTTTTCCATCAGTTCTTTTTTATGTTCAAACCTACAAAATTACTGTATTTCATATGAGAAGCATGCATACTACATAGCACTCCATTTTAAACATTGCAGATGCTATCAGAAGCTATAAAAGCAACTACAGAAAATATGCTAAATATGCTAGTATGTTAAAAAGTTAATAGTATATATAAAATGAAAAACAAGGAACTCAAAGATAATCCACAATACAGATTCAAGTGTGGATTAAACAAAAAAACAATATGAAAAGAGCAGTCAAGCAAAGAAACCAAGAAAACCATAAGTCCATTCCACTTCTAGTCTCAACTAGTAAAAAAAAAAAAAAACAAACAGAAAAAAAAGTTATGAATTTTCTGTGTGTCACATAGCCAGTTTAACTTGTCACCAGCTCTGAGCTCTGCCTCTCAGTTAGTCACATGAAACCAGTTATATCCTGACAAACACTTAAATAAACAAACACAAACCCTACAAGAAAGAAGATGCTTGGAGTCTGTTTTTCTTACTGTTAAACTGCAATTTTTCTACAAGCATAAATTTCACCCACATTTCCCGGATTCCTTCCTCTTCATTTCCCGAGGTGTATAATTCCACTCCTTTGGAACTGTCTTCAGTAAACTTTCAGGAACAATTTGTTTGTGCTGATATGTTCCATAGTTTTCTGCTGCTTCCCATGAATGCATCAAAGAAACAATCTGCTTAACTATACCCTTGACTGAATTAATCAATATCAGCTTCAAGCATCTGATAACCTCTGGCTCTGAGTCGCCACAACTGGAAACTTCAGAAGAAAAAATTATTAAATATTCAGTAAGTGTGCAGTCATTTCTGCAAATCTATTTCAGAAATAAGTGTTTCAGAATTCTTACAGAAAGGAAACTAACGATATTATGATTCAAAATAATTTACAACTGTCAGCCTGTTATAAAGTAAAGAAATAGTATAAAGTAAAACAATGTAGCATTTTGTACCCTCTTAATATAGTAACAAAAAATACAATTTCAGTTATTTCTTCTTTTTTGGCCTCAGTCCCCCATCAAGATATTTCTCAAAATTTAATCTGAGTAGTAGCTTTCATTTTAATTGAAATAAACTTAATCACTGGGTAGGCATTAATGAATGAAGCAGATTTACAGTGTTAACACAATGGCAATTGTTAGGTAGCTATACTTTTCTTAGAGAAGAGCAAAAGAGAAATGATACTTCGGTAATGAAAATGCATAAAAATAATAGACATCAACAAAGACCTAGTATGGTATCAGAGACTGTATATCAAAAATAGAACATCTTAAATACAGTTATTGACATTACAAGTATCAATCTTCTCCACATTCTTACCACAGAGAATAGTAGTTTCTCCACAGCAAAAGAGCAGCAGTTGTCAGGTAGGATATACCAGCAATGTTTTCTGATGTTTCCTACTAAGGTCCTTTGCCCTAATTTTTGCTTATCTGTGCTTTGTGATGATCTAAGTTTTATTCTTCTCCACACAGTCTTTCTGAAAACTTCCACAAAAAACTCTGTATTTCTCTTCTTCTTTTAAGTGTTAACTTTCCTCTTTTTGAAATCCCATTTTTCTCTAAGGAATGCCTGACAACTTCTGCAATTGTTTTCTATTTTATGGTATTTGTATCTGTATTATTATTCATACCTTCACTCATTTTCTTCCTTTCTTTTCTTGTGAACTCCTGATTTTTTTGCATAATTTGTAAAACCATTGTTCTAAATGCCTCTCTTTCATGGTTGAATACTGCTTTTCCTTGTGGACACCACTGGTTGCCATCATTACATGGGCTGTTCTCACCCACCATCGAAAATTGGCAGTCTGCCTTTTGTCAGCAGAGTTTACATGCCCGCTGTGCTATGGCGCCCTCAACAGTAGTACTTCCTTTACTTTTTCCACTCCCTGTGGAAAACTCTTTCGAGTTATTAAACTCACACAGATAAAGAACCCAGGTCAGTAAAGATCTACAGAAACTGATGCCAACCTACTGGTAAAACAGACAATTACGTGAAAAATATGGAAATTTAGTTTAGAATAACCTCTCTTTCCTTCAGAATATCCACCATTCCTACAGGAATCTGACTGCTGACAACACTTTAGCTATAATTTAATTTTGAAGGAACCTACAATAACTTTATCAGATTTATTAAAGTAAAAATAATATGCATGACATGTCTGAAAACTGACATCAAACTTAAAGTATTTTCTATTAAACAAAATACCTGTCATATTGTATAAGGAATCCCACAACTGTTCTTTTTCCATGTGGGCCTCAAAAGCAATGCCAAGTGATTTGGGTGATAAAATGCAGTCAGACAATATAGTAAAGATAGTTTCAGTCAGAGTAGGCTCCTTGTTATTTATCTCATCTAAGAGAGAACTTTGTTCATCACCAATGAATACTTCACTTCCTTCAAAGTAAAAAAAAAAACAACATTGTTATAAAAATGTCCACAAAATTCAAGTCATATAAATATTATCAATCAAAACAAACTGAAAACTGTATCTGAAAAATGTACTAATACTTACAGATACTGAAATCTGATGTCCTTAACATAATGACAGTTGACCATCTTCCTGAATTATGTAGTCATTAAAAAAAGATACAAGCATATTTACAAACTATGGAATATGCCTGTATAATTCAAAATACCATTTGTAAATAATATGAATTTGCTTATTTACTCAATAATAATCATAAGTAAATTGGACTACTTTCACAGAATCACAGTCAAAAAGTTATTTCTGCATCACTTATCTAAGGAATATATAGTTGTGAAATTCTAAATTGATTTCGTTATACAAAATAAAATGAAACAGCAGCTGCATACTCACCAAAAAAAGGCTTGGATTTGTTTTTTTAGTTGAAGATGAACTGAGAAGAAATCATTTCCCCAAAACAAAATCTCAGCTATGCTAAGATATAGGCTGCTATACTTCTGACTGGATGTTAGGAAAAATTTCTTTTCAAAAAGAGTGGTAGTGAAGTCATCATTCCTTGAGGTGTTCAATGCATGTGTGGGACATGATTAGTGGGCATGGTGGGGATCAGCTGACAGTTGAACTTGGTGCTCTCAGAGATCTTTTCCAACCTTAATGATTCTAAATTTCTATGTGCTTTAACGTTAATTACTATTGTCCAAAGATTTGAGGGGTAACTTGTTACGTAGTATTTACTTGTATATGCTTTTAAAAACCATTATAAAACATTTTTCCACCTAGAGAATAATCGTATGTTTAAACCTCTCTTTGAACTAATGCAACTCAATGGCTTTAACTTGTGCTAGTCAAAAGTGAATTCCCTTCTTATGTTAATGACCATAACAATTGACCAGAGCCAGCACCAATTAAATAATTTTATTCAACTGTCTCGTCTGCAAAAGAGAGCTTATATAACACTGGTTTATATTAAAAATATGCTTGAAAATGTCAAATCATGCCAGTTTTGCAACCTATGCAAGAGGAAGATAGCCTCAGTATCTAGTATCCTTCTTTCTAGTGGTTCAAAAAGCTTTCCAAATTTACCAGTGATAAATGACTGCTTTCCACCCAGCTTTGTGAACAAGTAGATACTGTTTTAAAATTCACAAATCCCATTTTAATCTCCTCTGAATTCCTACCAGTTAATTCACACATTACTGTAAACTGTACAGTCTTAGTATTCCACTCTAACTGAAATAGTCCACCGAATGCAAGAAGTTGAAGAATAAGACCAATCGTTTCATAATCAGAAAGCTCTCTTTCTCCCTCCCCCTTCCAAGGCTGAAGAGATTAGCCAGAAGATTTTTGTTTAGTCAGCTTTTCTGCTCATATGCTCAGAGAGCTGGCATATTTTGCTGAGACATATTTCAATGCCACCTGCTCCTGAGTGAAGAGTCAAATTGATCCCACTAACGTACTCAAATCAGTCATACGTTGTCTAACATAGACAACCAAGAAAGCAGAAAAAGCAGTTCAAAAAAAGGAAAGCCATTCAAATTCAAATAATAAGATGAAAATTTGAAATGAATTTTCATTGTAATACTGAGCATAGTTTTTTAATTAATTTAACCAAACTCCAGGAGGGAGTTTGGTGAGGTTTTAGACACTGCGTAGACTGTTTTTGGAAAACAAGATGGAAGATTGCTTTGTTTAAAGAGATTAGTGATTTGATACCAAAATCAATTTTGTTTAATGCTGGTGGGACATGGAAATTTCAGGGTACAACCTCTTAAACTTCTCTAATGAACTTGGTGATATCAATGAATTCTGGAAAATAAAAAGAAGTACAAGATAATTCTGTGGGGGTTTTAATACATGTACATTCTTATAATGAGTGTATATGTTGTTCTTTTAAGAAAATATCTTTCAGAATCCACTGGGAAACCATTCTGAGTCTGAACATTAAGAGAGATGCACACTTTCATCAGCTTTTCCTTTTTAAAAAATATTACCTCCATATTTTATCAAGAGAAGGTGTGTGACTTTTGACAAGGGCTCTACTATCATCCAAAGGAATATTCCTATTTAATACTTCAGAAACTCTATAAAATCTCTTTATTTTTTCCTCTAGCTTATCCCTGAAAAATCAGCAAAGTAAGTAGCATATCTGATTAAGATCCTTTTTGCCATTGACCTTTCAGCTACAACTACTTCATTCCAGCACTTTTTTTTTTTACCACACTGGTTATTCAAGTACAGTATCCACCAGAGTTAACTGGCCAGACAGGTATTTTGAGGAGACATTCTTTTTATAAAATAGTTTTCTAATCTTTTGATGTTCGGCTGGCACGATACAATTTACAATCACGAAGAAGTGAAGAAAACTTTGAGGTGGACTAGAGTCTATTCTTGTCAGGACTGCATTTAACTCATACTGAATAGTCCAAAAATACATGGAGCACTGATCTACCTCTGCACACGTATATCAGTTCCTCTAAGAAACATGCTGTGCACTTCTAATGAGGACAGTGTTATACGCTAAACCCCAAGTTTAGCAGTCAAAAAACCTGCAACTACATTTCTCCAAAACCATGTGTGGCAGAACCACAACAGTAGTATTTTTTTCAATTGCTCATAAGATTTTGACTCAGGATTATTAAATCCAAGCAGTTTTTGTAAGTACAAAAATAACTACCTTGCAATGCTTGAAACAAGTTTCAGATTTAGCCAGTGCCAAAGGTTTCTTTATGGAAACAATAGTTCACTTCAGAGAGTACACTTTCTTTTACAACCATTTGCTATTTTAATAAAAGCTCAGATTTGTGAGGTCAGTTGATAAAGTTATCACCTTTCACTCACTTAGAGCAACTCTGAAAAAAAACCAGTATACTTTAACATTAAAATGCTGCAACATACATTGTGGCAGTTAAAGAACCACATCACAAAGGGCATTCAGTAATTGGAGTGGGAAAACTCCAATTCCACACATACATTTTCAAGTCATCTCTCTTCATAGCAACTGGTTCATAAAAACTCAGTCTATGAAGACTCTTCATATCTATTAGTGCCTAGGAAGTTGGTTGATATTGCACCGCATAATTTTATTCTCTCAGTGGAAATGCTCCCCTCCCTGCCTCCTTTGTGTGTGCAAGGCAAATTATCTCATTTTGAAGCAACTCACATTTCTTTGAGTCCATTTACATATTTGCAGCCTTAACTGATTACTTAGTATTTTCAAATGCCACTATCAGTTACTATTTCAGGGTCTGCATATCATCTAGTTTTAACTGTATGGACTATGCAAAAACAACTTCTGTTAGTCTTTGCAATAATTCATTAAGCAAGCCAAAAACATTAGGTAAAAATACCAGTGGCCTTGCCTTACTTTGAAAGCAGCTTCCCATTGGCATTAATTCTGTCCTCGGACAGTGAAGCTTAATACAGCTACTGCTTTTTTTGCTTTACTGCCTGAAGAATAACTCCTGGTTCTTGGCAATAAAGACTCACAAGTGAGAAGTCAAAGACTGTTCTGCTGGCAACGTAGAATGACAGATTCACAGAACTGTAGGGGTTGGAAGGGACCCCCAGAGATCATCGAGTCCAACTCCCAAATGGCATGCCATACATTTACAGCAGTCTACCAGAATGTTCCGTTTACTTTCACTTTTCCCTTTTTGATTTCAGCATCTTCTGGATTCAGTAACTCATATTATGCAAGCATTATTTTCTTCATTCCTCTATTATTTATTTCTTGTCAAAGTAATCAATTTCTGTATCATCCCAATGGATGGTAGAGTAATTCTGGTAAAAAAAATCCACCAGGAAAATTGCAAAACTGTTTGCTTTGTCAGAAAACTAAAACAATACCCTGTATTCATTGTTTCTCCCCACAGAGGCATAGCAAAGCCCTGTGGACCCTTAGCTTATTCAATAATATGTCTTAAAATATTCTAAATGTTATATCCAGAAAAAATAATTTTAAGTACATATTTTATTGTAATTAACAGAAAATAAATATAGCTAGATTATTTAGACCTCTAGTTTAAGTAATAGAGGTCCAGTATCCAAATCCAATTTTTCAGCTAGTTTTGTAAAGGTCCTCTTTCCCTAGTGATTATACTCACTGGACACAAATAAGTGATTCAATTTAGGGTATCTTGATTTATCACTTTATATATGTTTGATGTGGTAATTTTATTTATGAGGAGCATCCCACTTTTATGTATATTTTAAGTAGGTTTCTCTGAAGGTAATGTCTCCTATTTATTTCTATAGAAAATACTACAAAGAGCACAATAATGCTATATGATAGAGCAAACTGCCAGCTGCAAAACACTATTTTTCAAGAAAGTCACCACCACCACATATGCATTTTGAACTCCAACGAGAAAGAGCCTGCAAGCCATCCTTGTAAAATTGTGCACCACATGATCTGAACCACTGTTTCACACTGGTATGATGGCAACTGTTGCCCACACAGTCCGTCACTGGACTGCAGTCCATCAGTCCTTTAGCATGAACAGATAGAAGCCAGAAGGTGCCAAATCTAGACTATATAGAGGGTGTAGAAGAGTCCAGCCAAGATTGCCAGTGTGCTCCATCGTGTTCAAACTGGAGTTGGGCCCTGGTATTATCATGTTGCAAATGAAAGGCTGTCTTCTCTGGCCTGATTCTGGAAATTCTACTCTTCAGCTTAGTCAAGCTCATGATACAGCGGTCAGAGTTGATGGTTTGTCCAGGTAGCAGTAAATCCAGAAGGATCACCCCATTCCTATGCCAAAAGAAAACGCACATCGTTTTACTCTCTGCAGGCTGAATCCTGAACTTTTTTCTTTGATGGGGAATTCACATCACCACTCCATGGACAGCTGTTTTGACTCTGGCTTGTAGTGGTGACACCACGTTCTCCAGTAACGGTTCAATCCAGGAAATTGTCACCTTCAGCCTTGTACTCATTCAATAGGTCCTGACAAACTTCATATGGTGTTCTTTCTCCTGTGTGGACATACGTGGAACTTGCCTAGTATAAACTATGATTTCCACTGCTGCCACAATCATTTCCAATGCACCGAAGCTGATATTCAGATCCACACAAAATTCCCTGGTCATAATCCACCAATTTGTGCAGATTAGCTGACAGTGACATTATTCACGTTGTGGTGTGACAGCTGTGAATGGCCCTCCAGATTGTACCCTGTCTTTCACATTGCTGAATTGCACCACTCACCACTTCACAGTGCTCAAGTACATTGTTTGGTCTCCACCAACGTTCAGCAAATGTCAATGAATGTCTTTGGGTGTCATTTTATCCTCGTGGAGGAATCCAGGGGCACACCTATGCTTCATCCACATTTCCATGTCAGACACCATTCTGTTAGACTGCCCCTCTGCTGCCATCTCTCGCATGGCAAAAAAAATGTAACCAAATATTGGTGGGAAGGTTCAACCTTTACTGGCATACCATCAGCATACAGCTCTGATGTTGTAGACCAACATAATTAAAGCAGGAGGCATTGCTTATATTTGCATACACAGTTTCAGTGGCTTCAACAAATACAATAATCCATTTACACGATTTATCAACATTAAATGATGCATCTGTGTATGCCCTAAAATGCCCTAAAATCTCAACAGTACTCCATACCGTAAGAAGGAAAATGTTATTCCTGACCTCAGGAAAAGAAAGTGAAAATGCCTTTCCAGTTCAAAAAATAATCAAGATAAAGATCATGGAGTTTTGTTATCAGCATGGCAAGTCACTCAAAAGCTATTAAGTACTGAACTTTTTATGTTTTTATGCATCATATTAAGCATTGCAACATTTTACTGTTGATGAGTACGTAACTCTGGAAGCCTTTTATCTTACAGAACAAAAGAATCCTAAACTGTCATTACTAGTATCTAGGTATAGCTTACTAGACTTTTCTTGTATTATATAACAGATCACAGTATCAAAAATTTTAGCTTATCTGTCACCAGTTAAGCTGTTGCATAGGAGAAGGAATAAAAACTATAACCATTTTAACATTATATAATTAACCTTATTGAAATTAATTTAGAAGATATGGATGATTGCAGGTTTCAACTTTATCTAAATTGAAATTTTAATCATATCAATACTGAAATTATGTTAATAAAGTCTGCGTAAATGGCACATTTTCTAACTCATAGCAATATATATTTCACTGCAGCTCAAGAAGTTGGCCAGTAAGTAGACGAAAACCCATACTGTTACTTGATCCTTCATTCTAATTTAAGCAGCCAGTGAAATTCAGTACTGTATAACAGTAGGATAAGAATATGATTCTGATAAAAAAATTCTTCAGTCTTTGTAAAATATGACAGTCACTTCAATGGGCAAGTGAATGCAGTGTAGCTCTTAATAAGATGCATTATATAATTGGAAATAACGTTGTATCCATGAGAAATGTTAGACCACCCTAAAACAAAATAATTAAATTGTTACATACTATTATGTGATTTCATAGTTTGACATGTAAGGAAAATTATTTTGCTAATGAAAGACTGCAACTGATATAGACTAATTCAATATTGATGCAAAATTTTGTCAAATGGGTGATTATTCCACTAACTTTTCAATGATCTGATCATTTGATGTAAAAGCTACTAGGAGGAAAGATGTGATAAAGTTTTATGTTTCAAACAACAACTAGTAGAAAAATAGGGAACAATTATTTTCTTTGTCCTATTTCCATAACAACATTAATGATAATATTAACATGGGAAGGACATAAATATACTGCCATAATACCTACAGTGACAAACATATAGCACAAACAAAACCTCTAAGAAGCTTTTCACTGTAGAAATATAATTTTGAGGGTGATCTTTCAGAATATTAATCCTCACCTTTAAAAATCTGCATAAAACACTTGTGGTATCAACGCTCTGTTAAGTTCAATTTCACTTAGACTCCTTTGCATTCATGATATCAGTTTATCAAATTGTAGTCTGCTTTGAAACTATGAATACTCAAATTGACAAAAAAGAAATCTCATTAAAAAAGCAATAAACCTTTCTTTTTCTTTACTTTCTCGAGAACTGTCCAACTGGTAACTGGTATCTGAAAATATTTGAGTAGTTAAAAATGAATTTGTGTTTCCCAGTGATATTCTTGTAAAGATCAGCAGCATAAGTACTTACTTGAACTTTTCAGTAAAATTCTCACCAAGAGACAATCATTATACAGCAAGGTTTCCAAGAGCAAGTTCAAATTACAGTATGGCTGGGATAAGAGCAGTTTCAGTTGACCTTGGGCTGCCATTTCTCTGGCTGATGGACTCCTTTCAAAATGCAAGATAAAAACAGCATAATGTAGTTAATTTATCTATGAAATTAATATCCTTAAAGTGCAGATGTAATGCTAACTCCCTTAAATGTCAATTCCTCCCAGATTAGTCTGAAAATGCTTTCATGATTGCTTACTTTAAGGCAGCTCAGGGAAGGAATTACATTTAATCTCAACTAGCTAAAAGCAAATTAACATTTGGTAGTCTGCCAAAGTTATAACTGATATAAAGGAACTTCACTTATCTCTTTCACGGAAACATGTACAGCCTTGTTCCACTAGGCAAAAAGGATTTTTTTGTGCTTCAGTAAATCTAAGGCTATTATTCTTTAATTTACTATCATGTTAATTGTTTATTGCTCTAAAGTATCCTAAATTAAGGATATGAATCTGTTAATTAAAAAACAGAGAGAATGCTCAAAGGTCTGCAAGATTCTGCTTTGCACTGACCAATTCATACACATCATAAAGAATACACCTGAAATATTAGATTGGCTGGTTTACTTCTTTGCCAGCACAGGGATGTGAGAAAGAATGCATTAGCATTTAAGGAATCCCTTAGATTATTGTACTTTCTATTCTATTCTTCAGACATTTTTAAAAAGAATTTTTCAAAATCGAATTGTGAGTAAATTTTTTCCAGGAAAGCCTTTGCCCCTTATTAGCTGACACACAAACGACTTTCACATTTATATAAAAGATTTGCAAGGTTTAAAAAATTTCATTCTGATTGATGTTTAGCTATCCTATTTATTCATTTTGGCTGTAAGTTTATACAACAATAGTTGCTAACTTCGAAAGTTTATCCACTGCATATGTAAGCACTTATGCACATAAATTTTACACACACCAGTGTAAAAACTACATATGTCTCAGCGCATAAACTATGCATGCATAAACATTATCTGCCAGTACACACACAGTACCTTCAATACTAGCCTTCTTTCTTAGGAGCTACGTTTTCCTATTAGAAAAGATTAATATTCATCTGGACATGTACTCTACGTATCATTTCTATGCAATTATTTGGATAAAACTAAAATGGGTTATGTGGCTATTTTATATTTCACATTTCTGTGACCATCTGAGCAGGACAAGCGTGCCATCACACAACTCAGTTTGAAAAAAGTATAGATGACCCCACAAAAACTCCACTGTTCATTCAAGGTTGTTGTATAGACAGCATATTTAATACAATTCAACAAGGCCTGGAAAAGAAAATGTCAGTTAACATACTTAAGTGGTTTAGTCTGTCACGTCTATGTTTCCATTGACAGAAATATGTCTTGTTGGTAATCTAAATGCAATATTTCAGGAAAGAAAATCTTCCATATACAGTGTAAACTCATAGATCTTGCAAGGCAACCTTGAGGCAATCTAAGAAAACCATAATTCCATAAAGGCACTTTGCAGCAGGACCTCTATATCACACTATTACACTAAAACTAGTTATAGTTTTATACAGTTAATATATGTGTATATAAATATATTGTTTATATAGTTAATAATGTAATAGTCATTTAATTAAAAGACAATTTTACGTAGATTGGCCTTTGGGATTTTAACAGTAAACCTGATCCACATGAATAGATAAGCAACATACATGGCATTAAAACTCATGTACATATTTTTTTAAATTTTCATCTGGTATATTAGATATAATCCTTGATCCTACTGGTTTTTGACAATGATATTTTTGCACATAAGCATGTATTGGATTCTAATAATATTTTCAAAATTATGTACAATATGCATTTAAATCTTGATAGAACTTGCAGCCAAAATAACTTTTTCAAATTTAAAACATATATTGTAATCAAACTCAAGATTAGTCATATGTACATATACCCTACTGCTTTTTAAGAACAACATAGTTGTTTGTAACCACAATTTAAATACAAACTATTCACCAATTTTAGTGCTCTTCCTGGAACTAAACTCAACATTTCAGAAAATCAGTTAAATTATATGGGCCAATTTAATTTCATTTATCTTCTTCCTTGAATGCAATGTTATGAAATACAGTAAGGTCAGTTATTGCCTTCAAAACATAAGAAAAGGAACAGCTTTGGTCAACTAAATTAATGATGGATAATATTTTAAATGAATTCAGAAATAAATGCCATTTTTAGAATACTTGAGTTGAAATAAAACTTGTCTGTCATTGACCAGATGGGAAGTTATCATGTTGTAATATACACCCATTCTTGGCTCTACAAGCCTTTTGCAAATTGAAATGTACAATGGTGTGACTCACTTGGAGGAAAAATAAAATATAGCAGACATTCCCTACAGTCATGAAGCTAGCACCAATAAATGCACTGAGAAGTTTTGTAACGCGCATATGGAGAGGCATATGTTCTCCCATCTTCGTAGCTCATTACTAGTGAAAATAAGACTAGCCTCAAAAAAAGTGACAAAAGGTGAAGTACATATAAATATCACATAGAAATGTTCAGTTTTGTACAGTAGAAAAAAAAAAACAGAACTCTCATTTGCAAATGATATGATTATAAATCCCAGATGAAGCAAAGAAGGAATCAAAATTACCACTAAAGGAACTGTAATATAAATTATAATCGGTAATCCTTTAGTTTGATAATCAACTATATCATCTTAGTATACAAGACAGAAAAAAGAATACCTTAAGTGATAAGATCAACATTTCATTAGGCAAACAAAGATTAACTCTACTTCACATTAAAAAAATGTCAGTCAAGTAGATCAAGCAAAATAGACTGTAACCATCGCAGTATATGAGAACTAATGCATAAAAATGATTAAGTAGTGAATTTGTAAACAAAATTATTTAAAAAAACTTGTAGTACTTTGTCCTGAAATAACAAGCCTAGAAAGAGCAAATAATTTTGTGCCATGTTAGAATCCTTGGAATTTGGATAAAAAAAATTAGGCGCCCACAGCTGGGAGGTACACAATAGCCTCTGTTTTCAATTTTGTTCTACGCAGTGAATACTTTTATTCAGAAAGTAGAAAGAAGGAATATAAAACAATCTACGAAGAATCAGCTTCCACTACCTGCAATATGTAACCATAATGGATCTTGTTGATATTCTAAACGTAATATTTCAAGAAAAAGTTTTCCATATGCAGTGTGTAAAACCAGTAACAAATCACAGCACCTCAGGACACACTGCCCAAAATTACTTAGCATACAGATTATTTCATTGCTTTTTTTTCTAAGCAGCTGAAAGGTGTGTTGTTAATAGGTGATGTTAAATATTTTACCATCACAGTTCACCAAGACTGTTCACATACATGGACTGCCTTCACATAGGCATGCTAACTGTAAATTCTCAGATAAGTACTTTCTTTTGGACTCCTCATTTTCCCATATAAACTTGACAGAGAAGACATCTTGGGGATCAGAAAGATGTATGTCTTCTCACCTTTCATCCTGAGAAAATACACAAACCCTGGATAAGTCCAGAATCCTTTTTTGCTATTTATTAATGATAAATCTGTCCTGAACAGCTCCAGTAAAATTGTAATTCCATCTCAAAAAAGAGAAATCTCAAAGAGTGAAATGGTACCTGCATTATGTTTAGATACCTTAGTGCAGCAGACGATAATGTCTTGTAATGTCATATTCCAAAATTTGCAATACAAACTAAAATTTAAATTCTGAACACTGGCTTTGGATTAGAGGGTGAAAAAAAAAGAAAGAGAGTCTTTAATTCTCAGAAATAGAGTACATATCTCTTTAAGTGATGTATCTTGAAGTGATATATCTTTAAGTGATTCATGCCAATCTCTCCCCTACATCCTCCCTTCTCCTTACTCTCTACCTATGCAAGAATTACAAAATCACTGGCTAATTTCACTGAAATTTGATTAAAAGCAGAAATTCCACAAATACATTATCTTTCAAGACCTAGAAAAACTTAAACTACTACTTTCAGCGCAGAAAAGTACACAGTTTTAATTCAGCTAATCTCTGTTAATATCAAAGTCTGTCTGGTCTTTTGGTCAGTCAGTCATACATCTTAGACTCAGTCACACCATCTATTGCATCTTGTTCACTGAGTATCAGAGGCATGAGCAAAAAAAAAACAAAACAGCAGTATCACTGACATGAAACTAAGGGAGAGGGTTATGGAAAGTAAACAGAATACGCTACATAGTATGGGGTAAATACTGTAATGGGGATGATACAAGATAAAAAGTAATAAATCCACAGCACATAGGTCTTCAGTAAGTCAACTTTCACTTGATAACATATTCCTCTATAACATAAAAATACTTTCTCAGAAAACAGAAACACAACTCACAAAAGCAGCTTTTCATGAAAATGGAAAGTGAAAATCTCTCAGGAAATAACTTTTGAAGAGGAGGAGGAGGTGAAGGGTTTTGAAGAGGATCTAAACTGGTGTGGGAGTGCTTTAAATTCAAAATAAGAAAGGGAATGACAGCACAGCTGGTGGCATATGTCTCATATGTAACTTGTCATTACTCACAGTGACACAGAAGAAGAAAGTAAGCATTTTTCTCCAATCATGCAGTAATCACCCCCAAAATATCAACTACTATCAAAAAGTATATATTTCAATGTGATATTTTATATATCAGACCTTTTTTTAACTAGCAATCACAAGTGAAATACATTCTTTATCTCTCCTTTAATTCTAATTCTTTGAGAACTGCACCTGTGCTGAACTACTATACTGCTATGTACTTTTTATGCAAGAAAACCTTAAACATAATTCAAATATCAAACACAATGAGCACATGGGCAAAAAGATTATACTGTGCACTGCTTTCAATGAGAAAATTCTTATATTCTTTATTTCAAAGACTAGAGAAATCTGTAAAGAATTTCAAAAAATGCTTATGCGTTGTTTCATCAGAATATCAACTAGACATGCATTCACATATAATTTTTTTGAAAGTATTTGATTAACATTGACTATCTGGTAGTTCTTTTACAAACAACTTTTGATACTTACTTTGGTAAGGAAGGACTGGATGATGGTATGCAAAAGAACCAACGTAATGGATGATAAAAGCCTTTACAAAAAACATGAGGAAGATTTTCTCCAGAACTGTTCACAAAAGTCCTGAAAAAAAACCACAAATATTTCTGAATTACATGGAAAACTGGAAATAGCTTTGGAAGAATAATTCCTTTTATTGCACTTTTCTCTGTTCAAAATATGTGTATCAGATTATCAATACTTTCCTCATAAATGAAAGCAAAATATCTTTTGAAATTAAATGGTTATCTTCTGTATAGCATGCAAGTTGACATAGACTTAAAAAAAAAAATCAAGATTTTCATCTCCTCCATCTTCTTCAGTGGCTGAAAAGATATAGAATAGTGGTTGAAAAATCTGCAGTTTTCAAATTTAATGACTGCTGAAAAAGTAGTTAAGCTAGTTTTATGTCACTTCTACTCCATTACTGCTCTTACATAAAGAGTGTGAGAGGACTAAGTCAGATGTGGAACAGACCCAGGGGTGCTGCTGGTTGATGCTCGGCTGAACATGAGCCAGCAGTGTGCCCAGGTGGCCAAGAAGGGCAATGGCATTCTGACTTATACCAAAAATATTGTTGCTGGCAAGAGCACAGAAGCAATTGTACCTTTGTATTCAGCCATGGTGAGGACGTATCTCAAGTACTGTGTTTAGTATTGGGCCCTTCACTATAAGAAAGACATTGAAGCCCTGGAGCCTGTCCAGAGATGGGCAACAAAGCTGGTGCGGGGTTTGGAGCACAGGTCTTATGGGGAGTGGCAGAAGGAGCTGGGGTTGTTCAGTCTGGAGAAGAGGAGGCTCAGGGGAGACCTCATTGCTCTCTATAACTATCTGAAGGGAGCTTGTAGTGAGTTGGGAATTGGCCTCTTCTCTCGTGTAACTGATGACAGGTCTAAAGGGAATGCCTTCAAGCTGCACCAGGTAAGATTCAGGCTGGACATTAGGAAATACTGCTTTTCTGAAAGAGTGGTCAGGCAGTGGAATGGGCTGCCCAGGGAGGTGATGGAGTCACCAACCCTGGAGGTGTTCAAGGGATATTTAGACATTGTGTTGAAGGACATGGTTTAGTGAGTACTGTTGGTGGACAGTTGGACTGGATGATCTTGTAGGTCTTTTCTAACCTTGGTGATTCTATAATTGTATGATTTAGGTATAAAATAATACAAGAATAAAGAGTAACAATAGTACAAATAGTATTGGTAGAACTCTGCAGCAACTGCTAGGATTAAATGATAAATGATATAATGGATGCTCCTTGGCATCTTCTTTTTTCATTCTCATTTATGCCAAATACAATTTCAGCAGAAGAGGTGTAATTCCTTGCATCATCTATCTTCCATTAGCCATAATCAATTGCCACTTATTTTGCATCTTGCTTTTCAACTTGCTTGAATGAGAATATTTCATCCCAATAACTTTCCTTTTCTAACAATTATATCTTTAGGTATGATAGCTGAGACTTTACAAATGATGTAAAAAAGGTAACTATCTTCAAAAATGGCAGTGCTACAAAACTTATTTGCTTTCCTTTCTGAAGTGATTCTGCTTCATTCCCAATTTTCATTAAGAATTCTTTCTGCTACAACAACAGTAGAAAACACTTTGAAATACCTAAAAAAGAGATAAGAAGATTTTCTCAGGATAGGAGTATCTTTATATATGACATAAAAAAAGCCACTGCCATAACACAGGAGCAATGAGAGTAGATCTAAACACTCAAAACTGGAGGTAGACCAGAAATAAATTGGAATACAACCTTCAGGATTACATCTAAAATGTAAGATCCTCATTTTCTTATAGGGCGCTATATCATAGCAGCTTTGACAGCATAAGATTTTCATAATTTTACTATTTAAAATTGCTTTTTATCTCTTCACAGTTTCATGTAAGTAATTAAGAAGTACAGTTACAATGCCTGTGAAGGCTTGCCTATGTGACTCCAGTTGAAAGAAGAGTGAAAATTGCACTATTCAGTAAGAAAAACGTGTGTACATCTGTCTGAACTCCTTCACTGGTTTCTGAACTCACACAAAATATAGGGTAATTTATTTGGATACTACTTTTTCTGATTAATTAAAGCAAGTACGACTTTTAAATGATCTCAGATAAGCAATATCAGAGCACAAAGGTTAGCATACAGTAAATTTTTGTTCTTTGTGAATTCATGAATAATAGAAGACAAAATAAATCAGAGATCATAATGGAGTACTTGGACTGAAAATAATTAAAGATAGTAATTTCAACAATCTGAGAATATTCCAGAAAAAAGTAACCTTGTGTTATCCTCCACAATATTTCTCAAAACATAGCAAAAGACACAGCTACAAGATGTTCCTACAGGAAAGAATGACAGATACTTGTTTTCCGATACTGCATGAAATGTTTTAGAAGCTTTTGGTCTAATGCAGTTTGTGAAGTACGGTTTCTTAGCTGAGACATGAGGACAAGCCTCAGGGCAGATTCTGAGGCATACAGCAAAACCTCTATGAACTTTGAAACTGATGTGGAGAAAATGTAATAGCTTTAAATGCTTTTTAACATTAAGAGTATCTTCAAATACTGTAAAAAAAATGAAGCGTCTAGTGATAATAAAACAATCCTTGGTGCCAGCAATACTCAGTGTCCACTGCTGGCTATGCAGTTCTTGCCAGGAAAGCAGCATCAGCTCTGTGCCAGACAGCTTAATTCAACTACTATTCTGGCAGAAGTATAATAATAGGTAGTAGGAAATTTGTTTTGACTACAAGATATGTTAAAGAAGCTGTCTATATAGTCTCAAAGCAGTGGATAGCACCTGTGAAAGTATTTAATACCATGCCAAGATTCCAAGTTACAGTAGTTTTGTTGTTCTGTAGAGTATGACAAGGTGATAAATGATCTTTTAAACCTCGGTGTGGGCGTAAAATAATGAAATGCCAACAAGGTGCATCACATTGTTTACAGACTTTGAAGAATTTAGTTCTTTATAAGGAAAAAACAAGACTAAGAAACAACCTCATGAACTGTAACTCACATATTAAAATTATAAATAATATTTTATATTAGTTTTTATCTTTATATTTTATATATTTTTATATATATTTATATATTTATATATTAGTTTATTATTTATTTATATCAGTTTTTATACTGAATGACAGATACTTTTACTCAGAAGATTGCAATTTTACCAATAGAACCACTACATTCTTCTTTCATAATTTGCATCACTGACCTGATTTCTAGTTGAAAAAATAAGATATAATACTTTGTAACAAAAAAACATAAAAAGCAGAATCCACCTTGCTTTATCAGATCTTCACAAACAGAAAAAATGTAGTGTCCTAAGATAAATGAATATTAAAAAAGTACAAGAAAGATAAATATGCTTCAACTTGAGTAACTCAATCTGCTGCAGAAGGAAGCTTGCTTTCTAATAGATCGTTTAATTCTAGCGGAAAAAATAGGGAAGAAGAACTGTGTTGAATTCTCCTGCAAAACAGAGAAATAGTGTTGAAAGTTTTGATCCAAAAAGACCAGATACTTTATCTGAATAATTAATAATGACTTTGTGTGCATGGTGAAGGACTAAATCCTCTTTTTTTTTTTTTTCCAGAAATTCGGATCAGTAGCAAGAAAATAGTTACACCTGGTAGGTTTTAGAACCATATTCCAGATGTCACTATTGCTCAACAGCTTCCTGAACAACACGGACAGATGTGGGTATACAGAATACACACTTAGAACATTTGCAGATGATGCTAAACTGGAGTAAAATGATAAGGTAGTTTAAGAAATAAAGTTCTGAACAGACAATTACAGGGCCAACAGAAAACTCATAGAGTTCACTGAGGTAATATGCATCTTTTTCTCCAGCAACAGAATACTAATAACTGATACTAGGCATTAACTGAGTAACTTCACTTATGAACCTGGGGTTTATGGCTTTTAGAGTATTGAGTATGATACAACAGTGTAATCTCATTAAAAATAACATAAACTGTACACAAAGCTGCCTTAGGAGGAGCACAGCAAGTAAAGTGAAGTACAAAAGTTGCTCTGAAAGTAGTGCTTCCTATTTATTTCCATGAAAGCTACAACAAATACAAAGAGCAAAATGACACTATTTGATAGAGGGAATTATCAGCTACAAAACATCATTTTTTAACATGCGCATCACCATTAGCTGATTTGCATGGATGAGCTGATTGAGACACTCTTCATTGTGTGGTGTGATGGCTCTGAATGGCTATCTGGACTGTGGCTTGTCTTTCGTGAAACGCACCACCGTCTCTCTCTGCTCACATACACTGTTTGGTCTACATCAACTTTTAGCAAGTGCTGATATATGTTAGTGGGTGCCATTTTTTCCGTATGGAGGAATTAAATGACAACCTTTGCTCCATGCACACTTCCATATCAGACTCCATTCTGTCAAACTGCCCCTTTGCTGTCATCTGTTGCATGGCAACAAAACATAACCAAATATTGCTGGGAAGGTTCAACCTCTACTGCCATAGCACCAACATATGCCTCTGATATTGTGGATGAACATAATAAAGCACAAATGAGACATTACTTTCAGAGCTGCCCTCATAATTGTCTTTTACTTGGTGCCATTTCAATTAAAGAGCTGAAAGATCCGACGTCATCATGAGATTTTTGTCAAATATTTTCCAACAGTCTTGGAAATCCAGAAAGGTCCCTTGGAAGATGGCAAACGATGTCTTCACTTTCAAGAAATGCAAGAAATTAGATTCTGGTAATTACCAGAACCTCTTCAATCTCACTTTAGTTGGGATAAAATTTTGGAGATTATTCTGGGAGTTACTGAAAAACACTTGAAAGACAATGTAGTTATTGATAACAGCAACACAGGTTCAAGAGGGGAAAGTTTTGCTTAACAAGCTTACTTTCCTTTAATGACAATCTTATCTATCTAGCTGACAAGACAAGTGAGAAAACGTGATCTCTTCAGATCAGTAGAGCTTTCAATGCCATCTCTTACTGAATCCCTCTGGACGCAGACCCTCAGACCCTCCGCTCGCCCGGTTGGCAGCAGAGGGCCTGCTGCACCCCAGGGTACAGTTGGCTGTTTGGGCTCCAGGGCACACTGCAGCCTTACGTACAACTTGCTGTCATCCAAAACACACAGTTCCCTTTCTGCGAAACTGCTCTACAGTCTGTACAGTCCCCTCATCTGTAAATATAGCCAGAGTTGATCTGCTCCAGGTGCACAATTCAGCCATTGTTCTTGTTAAAACTTCATGTGGTTGGTGATTGCCCAGCCTGTATCTTTCTGCAAGGCCTCTCTACACTGGAGGGAGACAATAGCTCCTCCCAGTTCAGATCGTGACCTTGAGATCTTCCTGGAAGTGTTCACTGGAAGGTAGGATGTGGCTTTGATAAACCTGATTTAGAAGGAGGCATCTGTGCCCGTGGCAGGGGAGCTGAAAAGAGATGGTTTTAAAGGTCTCCTTCAAGCCATACCTTTTGTGATTTTTTGATTATAATTTAGAAAGGTCACAAAAAGGGCAGAGAGAAAAATTACACACAAAAAGTGTGAGTGCTAAAATCTGATGGCCCAAGATTCATAGGTGAATTTAAGATCAAGTTTAAGCATGCTTACAATATAGAGAAGACATTCTATGCAAGGGCATAGAATATGTCCTTAGCATATGAGGGTTGGACATACGACAGGTTCTACAGTCTTTGGCCATCTTAGTGGCCCTCCTTTGGACTCCTTCCAAGAGCTCCATGTTTTTCTTGTACTTGGGGCCCCAGTCCAGAATGCAGTATTGCAAATGGGGCCTCACAAAAGCTGAGTAGAGGGGGAAAATCCCCTCCTCTCTGCTGGCCATTCCTTTTTCAATGCAGCCCATAACACATTTGGCCTTCTGGACTGCAAACATGCACTGCTGGCTCATGTCCAGCTTCTCATGCACCAGGATCTCCAAGTCCTTCCCTGCAGGGCTGCTCTCAAGGAGATCTTCCCCAGATAAGTTTGTATAAAAACCTGGGATTGCCCCAGCTCAAGTGCAGCACCCTGCACTTGGCCTTATTGAATCTCATCAGGTTCTCATGGGCCTACTTCTCCAGCCTGTCCAAATCCCTCTGGATGGCTTCCCTTTTTTCCACTGTATCGACTGCACCATTAAGCTTGGTGGCGTCAGCAAACTTGCTGAGGGTGCACTTGATGACATCGTCTGTGTCACTGATGAAGATGTTGAAGAGCACTGGTCCCAAGACTGACCCCTAAGGGCCTCCACCATGACCTGTGAACCATTAATCACAACCCTTTGGCTGTGACGAGCCAACCAGTGCTTAACCCTCCAAACAGTCCATCCTTTAAATCCACAACTCTCCAATTTACAGAGAAGGATGTGGTGAGGGACCACGTCAAAGGCTTTGCAGAAGTCCAGGAAGATGACATCCATTGCCCTTCCCCCGTCCACTGAAGCCATCACTCCATCATAGAAGGCCATCAGAATGGTCAGGCATGATCTGCCCTTGGTGAAGCTGTGCTGGTTGTCTTGGACCTCTTTTCCTAGGATGTGCCTTAACACAGCTTCTAGGAGGATATGCCCCACAATCTTCTCAGAGGTGAGGCTCACCAGGCTGTAGTTCCCCAGGTCTTCCTTTCTTCCTTTCTTAAAAATGGGAGTAACATTTCCCTTTTTTCCAGTCACCTAGAACTTCACAGACAGCCATGATTTTTCAAATATGATGGAGAGCAGTTTGGCAACTACATCAGCCATCTCTCTCAGAACCTTATGATGGATATCATCCGGCTCCATGAACCTACTTATATACATTCAACTGCATGAGGAGGTCTTGGACATCTTTCACTGTCACAGTGGGACAGAATCCACTCCCCACACCCTGATCTAGATGTTCAGGGTCCTGGCACAGATGGGGAGCCTGACCACCTATGAAGACTGAGGCAAAGTACTCAATGACTACCTTAGCTTTTTCTGTATTAGAAGCAGCCAGCTCCCCATTACCTTTTGTTAGAGGGGGAACACTCTCCTTGGCCAGTCTACCTATGCACCTGTAGAACCTCTTCTTGTTATCCTTCACATCCCTTGTCAAGTTCAGCTCCATCTGTGCACTGGCTTTACTAATGCTCACTCTACAGACATGGACAACAGCCACAAAAGTGCAAAGTACTTAATACGTAGCATAACTATAGTGCCTTATTCTCTTTATTGGCACTTTCACTGAAACTCCATGAATTCTGATGTGAGAACAGATTTTTTATCATTATTACAGATATACATTAACAAAGGAAACTAGAAAAGCTATGAGGGACAGATTACACAAATTACTTATTTTAGGCCATAAACCTAAGTACTTTCACAAAGGAAAGATGGTGGAATGATAAAACTAAGTGAAAGCAGTTACAACTAACACAATGTCTACTGCTGTCTCCATTACTTTTGCCACAAGATTAGTCTGTTCATTGGTTACATTCTCTAATGCAGTCTTTACATGTGCCTGAGTTATTTCAGATACAGCCCATTTTTGCATGTTCCACATTGCTCACATATGACAGTTAAAGAAGCTTAAATGCACCCTTCTCCACTAGTAATATTAAGAATATTTTTATTTAAAATAATAGGATAAAAGCAAGTTGAGTGGAATTTGGCTTTTTTATTTTTTAAACATGTGATCTCTCTTTGTATTGCCTCTTGCACAAGAATTCACAGCTGAATATTTAGGAACAAAACAAATGGAAGACTCAGACATAATTTCAGTGCAAGCAAGCAATGTCTGTTTTTGTTTGCATTTGCAACTTCTGAAGACTTCACTTTAAAAAGAATTTCACACTCTTTTAATATTCTTTAAATACTATTTAAAATAAATATTTAAGATTTGCTGACACTCACTGGTCATGTAATCAGATGACAATTGAAGTAAATTATGTTCCTTTAAATTCTAGCACTCACAAAGTTATTACAGAATGAAAGCAGAACACAGCTCACTGTGAAGCTGAACTAGTAATAAGACAAAATATTTCAACTGTATGAACAACTAATTCCTTCAAAATCTTTTCAAAGGCTTTAGCACCATAATAGTAAGTGCTTTTAATTTAATATGAATGTGTTTCTAACAAAACCTGTCTGAAAAGCAAGTTGTAAATTTGGGTAAATAATAATCAATAAAATTTTACTGTTTGTGTTACAGAAGAAATAAAATCTCAAAATCAGCATTATCTTCTGCGTTGTCATCATCAGAAAAATGTGCAATTTAAGGATTTGGTCCAAAGGTGACATAATCCCAGGAGACATAACAGATCTTTAGACAATGTCATAAAGATGACTTTAAGACCAAATCAGAAAATAGTCAAAGGTTATAAAATTGTTTCAACAGTGTTCACTGCATTTGTATTTCAACACAATCACTCATCTTGCCAGTATATCAATGTAAGCTTAAATTTTGTCTGAAATGGAATGTTTAATTCATACTCACTCATACAAATTTTTCAGTGGTGAAGTTAAAATAGCTAGCACAGAGAGCATATTATTGCAGTGGCTATGTATTTTATAGATCTTGAGATCTCTGTCTTCATGTGGATTCAGAAATTCCTGGACTGAGCTGCAAACTGACCACAGCATATTTTCAGTGGACATCAAAATTGCTGCAATATCTATTCTGTAGAAAGAAAAAGGGAAAATAGTATTACTTAGATGCATCAAAATAGTGGTAGATTTGAGTTAAAGAGAGTTCTCTTCTGATAACCAAAAATTCCTGAATTATAGGAGGGACTTGAAATTGCATCTTCCATCAGTGCCAGCTGTAGAAATTCAGAACTCATTGAACCGAAAATATGCAGCTCTATTACAAAAAAAGATTTTACAATAATTACCCAACAGAAGACTTGCAAAATATGGAAATGTCTTCTTAAAAGGACAGTGCTATTAGATAGGAATAACTTACTTTCTACATTACAAATAACAAAAAATATTTTAGATTTACGATAAAATAAAAAGAGCGCATACATTCTCCTTGTATTTTCAAATCTAATGGGAAGAATAAAGTAATGATAAATGAACTTAATCTTGAATTTTACAAAACACTGTCTGTGTACACACAATACATTTACTATCTGGAAAATTTCTGACTCAGCAATTGGCTGCCTCTTCATATTAACTGACAGAGTACTACAGGACTTGAACATACAAAAATCCACTGAATTAAAATATATAAATTATGTCTATCCCCTCCACTGTGTTTATTATCATCTAACTTGAATCACATCACTGTAAAACAGAAAACTAAGGTTTATGAACTTTAGTCATTAAAAAGTGTGCATTAAATATAAAATTATTACCTGATTTGTGGTGTTCGCTTATAACTAGGACAGGCTTGGGAATATCTAGAGGACAGCACATCCAAAGATTGCTCTAGCACATCTGTAAGAATCTCCTGGGCTAACTTGGGAGGTAGAATAGTCCATAGATCATGATGAAGAGCACAGCAGAAGTAATGCCACATCTGGACTGAGAATGAGCATCTTTCACCCTAGTAAAACCACACATTCAGTAATAGAAACACACCCTCCAAAATGTCAATTCAGTTTCTGTTAGCTTTATTAATTCCATTTGAAAGGAAATAGCTGGAGTGTTGCAGACATACAATGACCAAATAAAGGTCCTTGACAAGATGTGAAACATCTTTATTTCAGCTGCAAAACTAGAGTTCTCACACAGAACTACTACAGAACTACCACAACCTACTATATCCCTATTTGACCTTCTCTCAAAGCCTACAGATTGTCAAGTTCATAATATATCCAAGAGGTACTAATTTGAATCCATGTATAAAAAATTCAACTAATATCTGTTCAGAAAATAGTACTGGGATGAAGTTGAAGTAGATAAGGGCTTTGAGCTTTCACCTCCTAGGTTCCTATGGAGTTGAGAAATATTTTAAGAATTTAATGATATTTTTACATTACCAGATATAAAAAATAACATTTTAAGAGTTTGACAATGTTCTTCTCTAAACAATGTTCTTCTCTAATCTGGTTTCTTTATAAACATGCTATTTTGGCAGGATACTGGAAACTGTCATTATTCAGTAATTCACTGTCAGTATTTTAGAAACATAATCTCTATTGAGGGGTGGCAAATTCTGACAAAGTACTGATGAACCTAACTTGTGACCACTGCCTTAGTCATTAAATTTATGATTGATGTAGGTATCTGAAGCATCTCATTTAGGAAAAACAACAAAAAACAAACAAACAAACAAACAAAAACCCCACCATATCCAATTTACCTGGTTTCACTAAGATAGAAAAGAAAAATTTACTACAGGTAACTACAGAAAGGAAAAGTCTTTGCCTAATTTTCGTCACACATAGAGCTAGTGACATCTTAGAACTGTTTTCAATTCTAACTATTTCTATTCTATTCTAACTAGTCTCTCTGTTACTACAGTTAAGCATTAGGCATATGTTTCTAAATATGTGAAACAGGATAGTCTTATAATGATCAAAAGTGAGTGAGGACTGAAAGAAGCCATCATACAGAATTTCGCTTCTTGTATTTTTCCTATATTGCCTATCTTTTATATGAAAAAAGTTTAAATATTTTCACAGGTTATATTCAAAACCATTTAAGAAGGTACACGTTTAATTCGTAACTCAGCTCCTAACATAATTTAATCACTTTGCATATATGAAAAATTAATAACAAATTATCTAAATGTGGATTTCTTATATTATCATGATTACTCTCCAGATTAATTCCAGTACAACATCTCCAGAAAAAACAAAACAAAACAAAACAAAACAAAACAAAACAAAACAAAATGCTCTAAACCTATCTTACAGATATTTTACTAGCACTTCCCATAGTTTGTAAAAACTTTTCTGTTCTTATAGAATAAACCAGTCCGGTATAAAGTATCTAGTCCTAACAGAACTTAATTCATTTACATAACAACTTTAGCTTATAAAAATAATTCTAACAATTTATCCCTCCCCCCAGAAATGCATATCTAACAATCAGAAATAAAATTCTGAACTTTCTAACACAGGGCATTCATTTTGATAAGTAACTGAATGTTGGCAAGTTTCATTTTCTAACTATAAAGACAAATTATTTTCTTTGCTTTATTTAATTTAAAACGGTAAATTGAATAACACTGCTTTTCTAACATTGTACCACTACTGCAGAAGCAACAGTTAAGCTGATTTAATGGGATCGATTCCCCTTTTCTGACTGTTTTTGTATTTGTTGCAATTTCTAGGCATTTCTACTGGTAAACATCTGTTATTTTTGCAAGCTTCATGTAATACAAACAGATGTGAGCTTTTATTTAGCTTATACATCAGGAAAAAAGCAGCTGGGCTTTATTACATAAGCCACTCAAATATTATCTTTGAACAGACAATTCTTTATTCTTTGTCTATTAGAAAACATAAGTTCCTAAAGCTACAGCAGATGTCTCCTACACTAAAAGCTCCATTCCAAAACATAATCTGGAGAGCTGGTGCAGTGGCACAGTGGGTGTTCAGTGCACTCTGTCAGAGAGATACTGAACCAAGAGTTTCATTCCCTGACAGTTTAGATTACGTGCTGCACCGGAATTGTTCTCATAAAGTTCTGTTCAGATCTCACAGTACCACAAAATCTGTCAAAACTCACTGTTGCATCATAGTGATTAGGATCTCTGTATTCAAGCACTAATTAAAATTCTAATTATAACAGTTCTTTTGGCTTTGCTTTTAATTCCAGTTACCACCATTAATTTAGGTGTGTCAGGACATATGGTCAGGTTCTGAAATAGGTTACAGAATGTATTTAGAACAGACATTATTCACTTTTTAGCAACAAAGAAAAAGAATTAATGCTTTGTATTATAGGCTGCAATAAACATTTGCTACCAATCTTGTTCTCTCTTGTTAACATTGTAAAAGTAAATAAATAACTGGAGATGGAAACTGCAGCTCTGTACAATCAAACACAGACACTTTCACCCTCTTTCTTCTTTGCCTTTCTCTCTTTGGTTTCTTCTTCTTTCAGGATGAATGCAAATCAGGATAAGTCAAGTAGTTTCACTTGTCATTGCAGCATTAGTGACTACCAGGGAATGGAAAGGAAGGATATCACATATTCTTTCTAGTACCATTTCACAGAATCACAGAATCAGAGATTGGAAGGGACATCGAAAAATCATTAAGTCCAATCACCCTGCTGGAGCAGGAACATCTACATTTGAACACCTTGCATTACTGGAGAAAAATGAGTAAGTCCATGTGATCCTGAGATGTAGGCTTGTCATTTAGTTTGTTATTAAACATGTGACAAAAGAACAAGAAAATAAGCGTTCCCTAACTTACACAAAATATTTGGCTTAGTTTGTGGGAGAATGTGGAGATGTATTTTTTCCTTTCAGAAATTGCATTTAGGATTTGCAAATGATTACTTATTCTTTTGAAGTTGTATATAACACTCAAAAATGGGAGGACGGAGAGGAAGGGGTAGTGATGGTCCCAAACTAAACCAGATTCAAGAACTAGGTTACTACAGAGATGAGCAGAAGGAGGGAAGCCGAGTGTAGCTTCCCCTCAAAAACGCAAGGTTATGATGCTGTTTACAACAAGGGATCCCACTGAAAAAGGCCTGAGAGCCACTGATGCATACAAGGGCATGTGTGTGCCCTTAGAGAGCAGCACCTCATTCCTAGTACTCCTTGCCTGCCCTAGAAGACTGGCAAGGTCTTCTGGCTGTTGTCCGTGCTACTCCTGGGCTGCGAGCTCAGCAGGATCTGCGTGACTCAATAGGAAGAGCCTCACATTTCCTGCTTAGTTTAGAACTCGGAAGGAACCACCTCTCACATCCAGAAGTTTCAGTAAGATGTTGCCTTTGTAACAAGCAACAGATTTTAAGCTAACCTCCTTCATTCAAGATGCCAATAAGAGTCACACAGAGGCAGTAGTTGCTCATCATAATTTCTCCTAAAGGCATTCTGAGCAGATCATAGACCACTTTACAGGAAAAAGATTGGTGCAGTGATGTGCAATTACATATTTCCCAACTGAAGCCCTGCAGGTACATGAAGTTGAAACACCGATTTTCTTCATTCCTTTCTGCATATCAGTTCTGATTACGAACAATAAAATTATTTAACTAGTTAGTAGTCTTTTTTGTTGTTGTTGAGACAGCTGTTTGTGACAACTAGGTATCACCACGTTGAATAACTGTCATCTGGGATTTACTGAGTCAACAATAAGCAGACACAGCACCACACAGACTTCCACCAGTTAAGACCAGACCTAAATCAATTGCCAAAAGTCACTCAACTTGTTCCTTTCTTATCAGCTCAGGACATCAAACTTTATGTTCAAGCAGAAGTCACATGTTTATTTACTTATCGCTAAGGAAAGCCATTTTCACATCATTAGTTACATTAAGGCCTGTTTAATCACCAGTACGGACATCTGTCAGTGACTTGGCAGCTTTATATATGCTGTGTAGAATACATATATCACAGTTGTCTCTCATGCAAGATCTATAGAAAATGTCTAAAAAAACTGCTGTAAGTCTTTAACAAATAAAATTAAATAAGAAAGGGCTGGTCTCTATCTCCAGGAGATCTCAGTCATTATTGATGAACAACAATATAATGCTTCTGCTTAATCCTGAAATTACATGAAAATAAATTCAAATTGAATATGTCTACATTTAACTAAATAAATTGTTTTAATGATATATTCACTTGCTCCCTACAGTTTCTTTCAGAGAATCATTAGAATTACAGTTTAAAAACCGGCTTGCAACTTCAAAATGCAGGTGAAATGCCACACAGTTAAATTCTAAAAAGAACTATACAGATCACCTTTTCTAACTACATCCTTCACATGCATGAGGTAAAAAGGAAAATCAGTAGATTTAATTTAATCCTATTTAATTAGATTGATGATTTCTGGGAGAAAAATCACCGTCTTGCATTTTCATGTCACACTTACTGTAAGAAGAAGAGTTAACATGACATCTTTTTTTTGAGTTTCATATAGGTGTCTTGAACTTGACACACAATATTTTATTAAGCAAATACCATAAAAACTGTATTTTCATTATTTATCTCATCCTTAATTAATTATTTTCTTCCTACCTCATTCCTTCAGAGACATTTGCTTGCAAAAAGAGATATTTCTCAACAGTTAATACCAACTATCTTTATGTAAAAATTATGCTGATCTCATGCTTCTAGTTAGACGGCTGACAACCAGTATAATACATTTTGTAAAAAATCAGGCATAGTAAACTTAACCTCACACCTCATAAAAAGCTTTGTAGTCATCCCAGTGGTGGCTCTCAGCATCCTGCAAAATGCTTGTAGCACAAACTCTGACACAGTAGTTCGTAACTTGAAACTGAAGAACGTTGATGAATTCCTGATATTGTTGGATAGGCACTAAGAAAAGAGGTCTGTTCAGAAAGAATGAACAAAGAAGCAAAGATTGAAAGGCCATGCAGAAGGTAGCAATCCCCAGTGCTGCAAACGCTCTTGATTATTAGGAATCAATCATTCATTTCCTCTTAGTCCTGGAATCTGAACCCAATATTCACTTTTGAAAAAAATCTGGTCTTTTCACAACTTCTTTAAGTACATCTAGCCCTCTGCAAATTCTCATTTAATAGAGTAACTTGGAAAAATATTACTTCAGACTTTTCTGAAATAGAAGTGAAGTTGTCATTCAGTTACTCAGAGATTCTGTGTCGAAGTATAATTGCATCAGCATTAATTATGATGAAGAAAACATTAACAAAGTCTAATGATTACTTTTGGTAGTTTGGAGGCAAAATTTTTCATAATACATGGAAGTAGAATCAGTGAGCAATGTTTTGGCCCAAACTTCCAATTCATAAAAACAGACTTCATGCATCAGAGGGAAAGTAGCTCAACAGTTTATATAACCCCTTAAAAATTACACTTGTCCCTGTAAATTTTCTCAAATTTTCTCAAAAGTTCAGTTGTTTCCCCCCAAGAGGCCTAGTTTCTACCTTTATATTACGTATGGCTAAAACACATGGGACAATAAAAACATTCCCAGTATCTTAAGACAAAAAAATCCAAAAAGATCACATAAGATAATTATAGTACAGTCCATGTCAAATAGTGTCTTTGACTTCAAACTACTGCTTCCTTTCCTTCCTATATTTTATTTTGCATGCAATGACAAACTAAATTCTAAAAGTAGATTGGATGTATTTTTACACATTTCTGAAAAAGCTGATATAGGGAAAAAATTCAGGAATGTACATTTATAATGTCTTCTCAGATTGCTATGTGCCAAACTTGATATTATGAAAATGCAGCTGTTGAAGAGGTAGAAAAAAGAAATTAAGGCCTTATTCAATTATTTATATGATAGCAGAGTACATTTAGTTCAAGGAAGTTACTTAAACTTAACAAATAAAAATTATTGAGCTAGGAATAAAATGTAGATCTTACCCATAAATAATTTGTTTTGAAATGGCTGCTTTAGATTATTGTTAGCTTTGATTCAGGTCTTTTCATAAACAGTACATATAGTGCTCATGAAAAAATGTGATGCAATTCGGAAAACTGTCATCATATTGTGTCATCAAAATGAAATTAAGTTTTATATTATTTTTATTCAAATTAAACAGTTACATGTAAAAGAGACTTACTTTTTGCTGCTTTCTCTCATTAAATTGCTATACATTGTAAAATGTTGACAGACATATATTGCTGTGGAAAGAGCAGCATATAAGTTTTGCAGGGGAGCCTTGGAGGGAACGTCTTCACTTCTTTCCTCTAGTCTTGCCAGGACAGCTGTCGCTACTTTGCTGCAAGCCTCTACAAAATTTGCTCTAATTTCCTCAAGAGAATCATCTCTGCATGCCAGAGCCAGTGGAAGCAGTGTGTCAAGTTCTCCCATGATGTCAGAACAAAACTGGGAGAAATAAACGTGGCATCAAGTTATTCGTATTCTGACAGCATTGTTTAATTTATACACACTTGGGTCAGATTCTTGAACAATGAAATTGGCATAAAGCATAAATCCATCAAATGGGCTTTACAAACATTTCATTTTGTTTTACAGTAGAGAAACATTTATCTATAGTAAATGAATTATTACTACATTCCTTCTTGCTTTAAAGCGATGCAATATTTATTGAGAAAAAAATTAAAACCATTTTATGCTAGTAATGTCTTCACTTTGCTTATGACTTCATTCTATGTACATTCAAAACAGAAGGTTAATTCCTTGTAAACTAAGATAATTTTCTAAACTAAATCGTTTCAGAAAATACACATTTTTTAATACTAAACTTGAAAGAAAACATCTGTTACTAAGTTTATATACTGCTCTGCTTAATACTATTTTCTTTATTTTCTCAAATCTTACGTGTTACTTTAGGCAAACAATCAGCACCATCTAAATTTGTAGAGCAGTTGACAAACTTAGTAAGTTCAAACAAACGTTCAAGAAACTAATTCACTACCCTAAGTAATGAATTTGCATCAAATCAAAGAACTCTAATTTGGCCTTATTTTTAGTTATGCTGATTTGTTAAATGGGAAGTCTAAAAATCTAAATACAGGAAATCCCTTCATAGTTATGCTTTACAGCATTAAGCATTTTCCTATGAACCACGTGGTAACAGTGTAGGTACTAATCAGAATGTTTTAGAACTTTCTGGATGAGAAAAAAAAATGCCAGCAGAGTTTAAAAGTTAATACTTTCAAGTACAGACTATGGGCTATTTTATAAAGCTTTGTTCAGCCTCAGATTATAATGCTTCTCACTTTCTTCTTAATTCCACTTATATAAGATTTAAAATATTAATGGTACTGCAAGTATTCGAAGTATACTTCGAAGTATTGATGGCAAACAGCCATTCTGTCTCCCCTCAAACTTCAGATCTTTTGATACCTGCCTTAGCAATTCGTTTTGGTTGCTCCTCTTGTTGGAATGCTTTGCAGGACTCCCTTATTTGCTGGTTGTTTACAAGACTCATTGCATAGCCAGCAGCTGAAGACTGTTCTTGCAGCTCATGTTGAAGAATTTTAGTTGAAAAATCCTGAATTGCTATTGTTATACAGTGAGCCACTGAAGAAGACAGGTCCTTAAATGCATTTCTCCAACCAAAATTCAGTAAAATAGGCTGAAATAATATATATGTTTATTAAATAAATCCAAATTCAATGCTGAATGTTATTATTCTTACTATCTGAAACTTGCATGAATATTCGTAACTGAATTACTTTGAAGAACACTATAATGTTTTGAATTCCATTTGAGTAACTTGAAATATAGCTCACTAGCCTTGAAACTATATTAAAGCAGCATACACAAAATGAACATGCATAACAATATTGCATTTGCCATCAAGGTTTTAAGAAAATGAATTTATAAAAAGCCTTGATTAAACACTAATGCTTTTTCATAATCCATTACTTATCATCTTTAATACACACTTAACAAAGCCAAATTTATTTATAACCATTTTCAGTAGTTTAACAAGTATTCCAGTAGTGCATTTCTTGTGGTAGTTCTGTATTTTTCTTGCAACAACCAAATTCTTGTAACAACCAGAATCTGCAAACCTTGAATATTAATGATAATGCAGCAATAGAAGGTGGTTTTAAGCCACACTGGATTTAACTTCCTTAGAGCTGGATGTAGCACAGATTAAAATGTTTAAACACAGATCTCTTGTTTTTAGCAAAAACAGTACATTACAATGGTTTGTATCAGTTCTTTGCTTTCCATAAACAGAGGGGTCTGAAATTATCTGAAGTGTTTCAGTTGCACAGAAGAAGACATCATAGGACATAGTTACTTTCCATCAATCTTGCTTTGCATGGCTTGTATAACATACAAACACCAGAAGTGTCCCACTGAGAACTGCACCACTGCATGAGAAATATTTTAATGGTGTAAGATAGACCATCAATACTCCTACTATGAGGGCACAGTAGGTGAAAGGAAGTATTCCTGACAACGAGTTATCATACTTAATTAAGAACAATAAAAAAGTCTACAACATAGAATCCTTTCAGCTTTACTCCAATTTAGAAATTGCATCTTCCTTCCATGCCTCTACCCCAGTCCAGTCATCGGCTCCAGAGAGGAAAGAGACAGCTACCCACACAACTGTTTTGGCAATTACTCTTATTTTTTCGCTCTATGACTTTTTTTTTTTTTTACTTTTTCTTTTTTTACTTTTTTTCATCATCCTGGGTCAAGTAAAACCCAATCTTCAGAAAACGTTCTTTGTAACCTATAAAATACAGGAATATCAGCACACATCCTTATTCAAAGCACATTTCAGAAAATTGTTCCAGCAGTAAAAATGAGCTGTAAGGAAATTAAATTCTACCTCTGCATAGTATCAGACTTGTTAGAACACTCGGGTCCCATAACATCATCTAAAATTTGTTTAGTAGTAAATGACTACTAAAATTTAATCTTGTACATATACTACAAAGCACAGTAGTCTGTTGACATCAAAGATGCTGAACATCATGTGAGTAGATGTCTCTACAGACAGTATTATTATCAAATGCTTCAAACTTATTAGAATTTTAAAATGTATTCCGTATTTGACAATATAATATTTAATAAAAGCTATCATGTTTTAACACTTTTTTACAGGTTGATTATGAAGTACTTATGATGTTAAATCCATTCCATTATTAAATCTAAAAAACACCAAGCAATTGTTCATGAATGCTCTAAGATTTTAGCCCACCTTAGTGGAGAGTTTGCACTTAGAATTAATTACAGTATATGAAACTATGGCAATAGGTGTTTATAATGAATATGGTGTCAGACCACATTGGAGACACAGACAAAAGAAAATCCCCTACAAAGTGGAAAGCTCTTTTCATACTCACCTCTTTTACCTGAAGTAACTGTTCAGGAAGCACACTGGCTTCATCTACTCTAGTTTCTCCCATTAAAAGCTCCCCACTAGCTTTTTTCAGAACTCCTGCACAGTATGATAAAGGGGATCAAAGTTAAAATTAATTCTGCAGAAAAGTCAGCAGCCTACAACACCTTCTGATATATCAATATGAAGCATAAAAAAACTCTGAACAAGATGTGGAATACTAATGTTATGATAAAGTCAAATTCAGGTTATACACAGCTCCTTTTATATAATATAGTGAAATCCATATTCCATTCCATTCATATTTTACAAAAAAGCACATAAAATGAATAAAATATAGTTTCTTTTGTCATTAATTCATTTTTATACCAATTGTACAGTCATCTATTCATAGGAAGAACAGATAATGTTAGAGAAGTTGTGCAGAAATTAATTTCTATTATTTGTTCAATAAATAAAATGAATTGCTCACTAATGTGTTTTTATAGTTTTCAGTTATTTCAAAAAGCTAATAAGGTAAGAATAAAAAGACAGTTAATTAATACTGTTATTATAAGCAAAATAATGGCTACAGTAAAAAGAACAGGTCAAGTTCCTTGAGGAACAATGGAAAAAAGCTCACTCAGAAATCCTGAAGTAATAGACTTATTGCCTGATTTGACAGAGATGAATAGATGTCACTTTCATAAGTGAATCAAAATGAATATGATAATAAAACTAAATAATCTTGTGTTTTTAGAGTTCATCTTAGAATAAAGCTGTCAAACAACGCAAGTGTAAACATTTTAACTTAAATATAACCACTGGTAGATTAAGCCCAAGAATTTTCAAACAACTAGGTGTTGTCGAACATTACCAAGTACTCTTTGTTACACATAAACTTAAAGGTCTTCATTCATCTGATGCTACTGGTGGTACACTCAGCTGGGGTTTAAAGATCTCCATTTCTATGAAAAATCCAGTATTTATATGTACTTACCTCAAGTGGCTTTTACTTTTCCCCTAAACAATTCATGCTCTGGAGAATGAACATGCTTTTCATATTCTTATATGGCATTTTAAAGTTGGGTGGTTTTCTAATGTTTGTTTGTTTGTTTGATTGTTTGTTTCCTTTTTTACTTTTCCCATATTCATTTAAATTTTAAAAAAGATTGTAAAAAAAAAAAGATGTGAAGTCTGGAAATCTAACTGCTAGAATACAAAACTAGAAGAGACTGACTAGATAATGTATTTCCCCAGTCATTCAAAGCATGGTGTTACAGACAGCATCATAAACATGGTGCTTTTTCCAAAGTTTTAATACACCTTATGATGAAGTTTCCTACAATTTTCTTCAGATGTTACTTAGAACAAAAAAATACAAATGACTGGATATTTTTACTCTTATTTATTCTGTATTTTATATATATAAATGCTTGAAATAGATTTATGTACATATTTAATAGATATAGCTTCTGATTCTAACAGTAAGAGCAATTCCAATATCTATATATCTCAAACACATATAAAACATCTCAAACACATATAAAATATTTTGTCTTCTTCCCAAAGAAGCTCCAGGACCAGTCACTTTCTCTGCTGTTTTTTGCTTTTTCCAAACCTTATCCAGTTAATGTTGGCCTTCATCTTGTTCAATTCATGAGCTGAGATGGGATTCCTTCACACTGATCATGGCACGCCAGCTGCACCCTCTCAAAAGTATAGGCACTTCAAGTGCTACGCAGACTTTCCCTCAAAAACTGTTTCCACAGAGATAGACATAAAAATACTCTCCTGCAGTCCTATTATTATTTCTCTTGTGACTATCTTGCACTAAACTCTCCTGGGAAATAAAAATGTAGCTTTGTTCAAGAGGCTGGTAAAGTTCCTGCAGTGAAGCTACTCACCCCAAATTTAATTTATCTTTGCAGAAAGGAACACATGTAACTGGAAGGAGGTAGGATGCCTTCCTTGCGAGCTATCAATTTCTACAAAAATTCTTTCACTCCTCACTCAGATTTCAAACTTCAAATTCCATTTGTGTGGAAAGACACAAATCCTTATCGCATGAATGTTTAGAGGAGAGAATTTGTAAAAAGAACATTTAAAAATGAGAATGTTATGAAAGAAATAAAAGATGGAGAAGGAATAATCAGTTAATACTTCCTTCCAAGATTATATTCTACAACTCTGTTATCGTTATAGAAGATTGTATCAATCTATTTAATGTACTTTATTGGTTTTCTAATTCCATTCTTGTAAGTGTTATGACAGTGAGACCTCTTGCATTGTTAATATTATTTTTTCTCCCCTATACAAAGTTCTATTAAATATTCTACTGAATTTTAAAGCCTCCTATTTGCTTCATAACATTTAGACTCAGAAGAGGAAGTCACTATGACAGCTCTAACATCAACAAGGAGAAGCTAAGCATCAAGGAAACCATAGAGGACTGCTCATAAGGTATAAGGCAACTGTGACACCAAAGCACCTCACTGGATTCAGCAGGCTCAGGCAGATGTTTCTGAAGCTACTGGAAATATGTCTTGCAGAAATGGGTAATACCATCCCATCACAGATATAAATATATAGAAGAAATAAAACATATTTTATATCCAGTAGATTAAAAAGCTTACTGCATTTTTTTTTTTTTTTTTTTTTTTTTTTTTGGGTGTGTGTATGTATGTGTGTGATATTAAGCAAATGCTAATAAAACAATTACTGAAAATGAGCACTGGAAATCAAACTACTTCCTACTGCAAACTCTATCTTCACTTGAGATTTATCTGCTGAAAATTATATATTTCTTAAAGAAGATATTGAACATTTTTTGCAAGATCAAAGCAAAAATCTTTATAACTTCAGCATCTTTGAAAAAGGATGTCTCCCACAAATTTGATTCTGAACTCCTCTTATTAAACTTTCCAGAAAGCAATATAGAAAAAAAAATTCTTCTGCTGCTGTGAAGGAAAGACCTTTGCAAATCTTCTTGGTCCCCTGAGGCAAAGCTCGTAAACCTAAGGGCTTGACAACTTTGCCCACACTGTTTTCAAAGAGCTCCATTGGAAAAAGCTTTTCTTGGTACTCATTATCTGATCTGTCCAAAGTTCACCTTTCTCGATGGAATGAAAAAAAGTGAGACACAGATGAAAGTACGTTAGAAGTTTTTGATTTTTTAAAAGTCTCAACAAGAAGCTTCTGAAAAGCCAGAGGGAAGAGAAAACTATCTTAAAGATGGGAAGAGAATGCATCTTGGCATTGATCCTAAACCAAGATCTCCTGTTTAACCCTTGACTGCCACTTAACGTTCCAGGCTGCTTCAAAGAGAACAGCTCCTGTGATGCCTTATGTACTAGGTATCTCAGAACATCTCAGAGAATCCATCTGACTGTAAAGAGAGAAGCAGACTGTCTCATCAGATGATGAGATACCTGCAGAAGAGATGGCTAAACGTCTTTTCAAGAAAAATAAAAAGTGGTTACATCTTTCATTAACTGAAATCTACGGGGAAGAAAGTATATGGATATGTAAGACTGAGAAGAACTCCAACACTTTTTCTCAGTAAGAGTGTTAATCTTGTCCAGAAGACGTGTTAAAGTTCAAGGACAAATTCACTGAGAACTTCTCATTATTTTCTCATTTCATTTGATTTGAGAGAAAAATTGAACTCTATGCTGGTAGCAAATAAAATGGGTATTTATATTAACTTCTTTTAAAATTTTCTTTAGATGCAAATATAATTTGAAATCAAACACAAAACGTAGGTCTGGCAAGGAAAAGTCAAAAACTAAAATCTGGACGGATTAGATGGAGAACACTGAGAAGTTAGAGTGGAAAATGAAATGTATAGATTTTTTTTTCCATCTACGGAAAACAAATGGAAAAAATGAGTATTCTGAATATATTCCAGAAGATGACAGATGTAGAACTCTCCAACTGAACACAGAGAGCTATCTATATCACCTAAAAAAATCTCTCTACATCCATCTCCCTACAGAGTTCACTCTGGTTCACTATTTCCTTTGGTGCTATTGTCTGCCATGGGGTTACCATCAGAGAACACTGGTAGGCAGTACTTCCCTCTAACATCTATTTTCAACCGCCTAAATTGGTCTTCATAGGATTCCATTGTGCACACTGCAAAGAAACTTGTCTTGTTGCCAGCTAGAACTGTGAACTACATGTCTTTCTTTTCTTCACTGTTCTTTTTTTGGTTCACAAGCAACCTCCTACCAAAAGCAGAATCCGCAGAAGAGACTACATCCAAGCGATAATGCAATGAAAAAGTATGAAGAGAAGCCCAGGTGGCCACCTTGCAAATTTCCAATGTGGAAGCCTTCGACCTCTCCGCCCAAGAAGCAGCTATAGTCCTAGTGTAATGAGCTTTACAAACCCTGGGAGCCTCTTTACCCTTAACTACATACGCCTCCCTAATACAATCCCTTAACCATCTAGCTAAGGAACTCTTAGAAGCCATTTGACCCCTCTTAAGACCCCCTAAGAGTACAAACAATCTGTCAGAAGATATGAAATCTTTGATTCTTCTGTGATAAACCCTAAGTGTTCTTCTTACATCCAATTTATGCAGCCATTGCTCTTTGTCATCGCTGGGTTTAGGGAAAAATGAGGGCCAAGAAACCGTCTGATTTAGATAAAACTCAGACGCCATCTTTGGGAATGGAAAAAAATTAAAAAGATGAACTGTCCAAACACCCACTTTGTTTCTGATGGAACTTTACACATGTTCTGTGTGTCAAGACTGAAGTGCTATGGGATATGCTGAACAAAAATCAACTAAAACTGCCATTGAAAGAACTATATACACAAATGCAACATTTGACATAAGCACGTGATAAAAAAAAAAAAAAAAAAAAAAAAAAAGTTGCATTTCTGCATGAGTTACAAACATGAAAAGGCTCTCCTCAATCCTAAAAGTAAGCAAAAAGAAAATGAAGCAAGTACAATGTTTCAATCTTGATGCTGCATGGCAAACCTTCTCATACCTTGCATATTACCCTACCTTTTATGAATTGGCTAACTTCTCTTAATTTACTAGCAGGACTACTTTCAGAGTGCTAATGTTTCCAAAACACTTTCACTGCAGTAACTGCAGGTGAGTACGCATGTGCCCAACCTAGCTTTAAACCAGTGAGAGCTAGTTGCTTAACCGTCTAGCAAGAACCACACACAGCTCCACCTGGGCTAATTTACTCTGCTTCTTATGCTGGCTCCGCAGCCTGTGTTGCTCTGTAAACCAGACACTCATACCTGAGTTAATTGAAAGCTACTTTGGACAGAACTACATGATATATTTTGTTCAATTAAATAAGACTTTCATTAGTAAGCATCCTGAATAAGTATAGAAGATGACCATTACATTTTCAGTTCACGTACTATGATGTGTTCTGCACAAAGTAAAGCAAGGATTCCAATTAATTATTCTTATTGATACTCAGTCTCCATCAATTTAAAAAAAAATAATCCATCTTGCTACAGAACAGAACCTGAAATTACTGGGTGTTGCTTGGCCTCTGACTCTGCCTTGCTGGTCTGTTCAACTTCCGCAACAACTGGGAACATACTTCTCATTTTCCCACATCAAATCAGCTTTTACTTCATCACCAAAGCCAAGATTTCTGACAACATGAAGTGAAAATAACACCAATAAACCCTCTAGTCAAGACATATTTATTTTTCTGATTATTTTTTTCAGATATTCGTCAGAAATTGAACAAAGTTTGGTGTATAAAACTTTTTGGTAAGTAAAGGAACGCTGAAAACAAAGATATGTCTGATGACTTAATGAGCATCATCTGTAAAAGACCTATTTTCACCTATGTTTCAGGGTAAGTATAATTTTACATTTTCTGTAGAACACGATTTTTACCTAGAAGACTACTACCTGTAAATTGACCTAAAGTAATATTCCCCTTTCAGATTTGATAGAGATGCTATTTAGGGACTAGCTTACTGTAGACATGATTACTGCAAAAGAATGTTTCTCAAAAAAGATGTCTGAACACACTTCTGATGAATAGTTCTGAACATAAGACTTGAAGAAATGCTTCAGAATAAAATCCTTACTACAAATTCTGGAAACTAAGATACTTTTTTGTTAACATTGCAGTGATTGTGTTCTCTGAATTACTGGAGATCACATCTTAGATTCTCAATAGTTAAGCAAATGAAATCAATTCCCAATTTTAGAGTTTCTTTTTTTTTTCTTTTTCTTTTTCTTTCTTTCTTTCTTTTTTTTTTTTTTTTTTTTTTTTTAAGGTCTTTCACATAAAACAAATAAAAAGAACACCTAAAATCATCTTTACTGAATGTACAGTCTATCTTACAAATTAACCCCATGAGAAGCTTACTATGACACATTTCTGTAGGATTAAGGCCATAAAACCTAAAACGCAGTGTATAATAACTTACCATTTCTTAAGAACTGATAAAACTGAGAAATTAAAGGAGGCAGAAATATATTAAAACCAAAAGTAAAAATGGAATTTGAATGCAAACTTTGAGCCTTTATGTACTTTCCAAAAATACATAGGTTAACCTGCATTTCTGCACCTGAGTTCAGATGAAGAACCTGCCAACAAAACATGTGTTTCTGAACTCTTGTTGTTTCATGTTGTGCTTTTTTGTTTGTTTGCTTGTTTGCATCAATTTAGTATTCTGAGAATGTACTTCCAAAACACCTTGCTTCTCAGCCTGTAGCTTGACTACAGAAACATTAAACATTTACTCCATCTGTCCTTTCCCCCTGAGCAGCCTGGCCTCATTTCTGATCTGATCTTTTCCTACAATATACTCAAAGCTCTTGAAACCACTTATTCTCTGGTGACCTGCAATCTCTCAGCTGGTAGAAGTGCGAAATAGAATATTTTGGGGTATGCTGTGATATGGAAAGTGTTAATCACCTTAATTTTCATGATTTCACATTGTCCTCATCTGACATGAATGCAATCTTACGAAAAACAGAATCTAAAGCAAATACAAAATGTAGGTTTGACTGTGAAAATTTTACATTCTGTTGTAGAGCCTAGTTCTATAAAAACAGCCACTGAAGCAAGTGGGATAAGCACGACACTAATAAGCAGGACTCATATTAAAATATTTGTATCATTTAAGAACAATAGAAGTGTTGCATAAGTCTGTTTTTCCTCTTGAAAAAGGCAGCTTTGAAAGGCAGGTTCAAAAATAGGTACAAAGAATTCATATATTGCTTTGTGCTATACGACATGTAGTTATTTACAAGAAGTTCAATCTAAGTCAGTGTTTGATTGTTCTTCATCAATAACTACTGCATATCACATCTTTACAATCATCAGTTCTTTTCTACAAATCACTGTGCTAAGAGGTAAATTTGCTTATTTCAAAAAGATTTGCAGTGGATATGGTAATACTCTTATATAATATGATGGCATAAATTAGGTAAGTAATTTTGAAAATCATACCAAATTGTTCTTTTGCACCGAGTACAATCAATAAACAAGGAAAAGCATTCATTACCTTGAACATTCTTATTCTTCTCAGTAAACAAAGGCATCAACAGAATTTCTGCACAGAGTTCTTCAATTTTTTCTTCCATGAATAGAAAGAGTTTGATGAGTTGAGAAAGACATTTAAGTTGATACAATGTTAAACAAAAGTTCCTTCCTTTTTTGTGGTATTCTTGCGAGGCTGTTAAAGCAAAATTATAGAGTAAGTTTTACTTTTCCTTAAAATGTGGTACTGGAAAATTGAAAATGTAGAAAAGCATAGTATATCAAGTAACTTCATTTTTTGCTATGTCATAATGTATCCTTTTCTCATTATAAAACACTGTCACATTAGCTCTTCCTAAGTCTTTTGCATTTGTCATCTCTGTGGGAAAGTATAAATGAATGCTAGGTTTTGTTATTCATTAACTAGGATTTTTTCTAAGGAACTACTCAGAAACCTTCTCACCTGCATTTTACAGAAAAACCACTGTTTGCAAAAACTGATTGAACACTACGAAAAAAAAATCCACATCATTACTATATTTCAATGGCTTGGGACATCACATCCCTACACTGTCACTTTGCAAGTCATCCTGTCTGTTTAACAATCTGCTAGCATAATACTATTGATGAATATGACATTTGAGTGAAAAGAAACATCAATCTCACATTGCACAAGTTTAAATATGTGGGGTTTGAAAACAAGTGAGACTGTCAGTGAACAAATATCAGCAAGTATTACACCTATAAGCATTCGATAGTTAAAAGAAGAAACTTAACATACTATTTTGAAAGTTTAACGCCTGTAGTCATAACATACAGTCAAGTCACATAATCCACAGAATTCTGCTTTGAGCACAGTCAGAGTTTAAGACATAGTGAGTTGTTTCCAATCCAGTATTACCATACCACACAGCTACAACTATTTTATTTTTATAACTTCCTGCAATGTAATAAATTTGCACTTCTACGCAAATGGTATTGAGCTGATACCATGTTTGTATGGAGTTGTGTTGCAGATGTAGCATCAGCAGAACAGTTTACATGGAAAGTGTCAGAATGAGAGCCAGAGTAGTTTGAAAGAGAAGATCCAAAGATGAAAACAAATAGAAATTGATTGAAATGCACTTTTATGCACTTTCATATGTCAAATCTCTCCTACCTTGTACTCAGAGACACCCTTTTCCCTCAAAGTTGCTACATTATTTTTTTAGGTATTCAGAAATCATTTTTAAATAGACACAGAACTGAAGAACAGAGCTGAGCTCTGAATAAAAATTCCCTGATTTGTTATTCATGTTTTGCAGCCTTAGAGACTGAACTGCGAGGGTTGCATGGACATCTGAGTTTCCTCATAGTTCCAGAAAGCTGTATCTATGTCAGTTCCTAGTATTTTTAAGAATGGCAAAAGAAGGTGCTACTGATAACTACACCTGCTGCAGTCTTGCCTGTCTGAATAAAGAGTAAACAATATCTGCATCATTGGATTTCCAACTTCAAATCTTAAATATCCAAAAAAGTAAGATACTCAGCTATTCTGAGAGTTCTCCTTTACTCAGAAGCTTGATAACGTAAAGTGAGTTTAACTGGTAGGGAAATACCTGCCTAATTCTGCAGAAAGCCAGAAGTAACAAATGAGAAACTGAGAATCATGAGTCACAGAATAAAAATCAATCGAACATTAATTCTGTCTCCTGTGATTTGAAAACCTTATGATGCTCCTGTCCCCTTTCTCCAGGAACAAAGGAACCTTCCAATTATTTGATTGCCCCCAAGCTTTACTGTCCTCATTAGACTGAAAAGAAGAGGACAGAAGCCAAAGGTATGCCACAGTAACATTAATGCTGGAACATATAACTGAATTCAGAGAGAAGTGAAAACTTATCTTTGCTTTAAGTGATCATTCAAAATATATTTCAGCTGGGAGCAGAAGATACTAAGTTCAAAGATCCCTCTTTTACCATATCATTAAGACTTTAACAGAATACTTTGATTTACGATACAGTACATGCATACATACATGCTTATCAAACTTCAGAACAAACTATGTATGTTCTACAAATGTCATAAAGAGGAGCTGAGGGGAGCCCTCATGGCGGCTGCAGCTCCTCACAGGGAGCAGAGGGCAGCGCTGAGCTCTGCTGTGTGTGACAGCGACAGGGCCGAGGGAACGGCATGGAGCTGCGTCAGGGAGGGCAGCTGGGGGTCAGGGAAAGGGGCTGCACCAGAGGGTGGTGGGCATGGAACGGGATGCACGGGGTGGTGGGCATGGCCCTGAGCTGCCGGAGTTGAAGGAATGTTTGGACAGTGCTCTCAGACACAGGGTTTGGATTTTGGGTGGTGCTGCATGGAGCTGGAGGTTGAACTCAATGATCCTTGTGCATCCCTTCCAGAAGAGATATTCTGTGATTCTATGAGTCTAGTGTAGTAGCTTGAAATGCATACTTATATGAATCAACACTATAATCATCATACAACCTCCCTAAAGTGAAAAAAAAAACTCAACCACAAAACATTAATTGATATATTTAGAAATCGAGTAAGAGAAAATTCAAGCAAGAGAAAATTCTTATTTCTTGAGGAAAACACTATTTTGTTTTTGTGGAGATTAAAGATATACTCCACATTATGGCAGTAAAAAAGGCCCTTCGCTGCTGATATATGTAGTGATAAACACATTCTAGAAATGAGACAGTTACTCTGGAAAATAAAGCCTGAAAGTATTCTGCTGGGTACACCTTTCTGGAAAAGGGTACACATCAGACCCCCCTTGCTGCTCAGTGCATGGCCTATCACACAAAGGGCTCCTGCCAGTCAACAACTGAACTGCACCTGGAGAAGGCACAGAAAGAGGAAAAAAGAAAGTATAACAGAGACAGATGCAGGCCTTGACTAAACTAATATCTTGGACAGGTATTCACTGGTATTTCACCTGTCTTTCCTCTCTGCGGTGGCCTTCTGTACAGATGCGGAGTACACAGGAGGATTCTCTATATTACATGTTCAATCCAGTTTCAGTGTCATTAATCAGTCCAGTGTAAAATCAGCCCTCACCACAGAGCAGTGCATGAGAAAAAATTACTGAATGTATATTATTTCTGATGTTATGCAAAGAGGTCAAAGAACTCAGAAAACTCATTTAACCAAATGGCATCACACAGAGGGCAACACCTCTCTGTGATGGCTTAATGCTGTTGACTGTATCCTAGCCAATTCATAGAGTATCATGCACAGGGTAACTGAAAGCATTACAATTTGATCTCAGCCCACCATGAACAGAAGATAATAATGATATTATAGTCCAACTGGAGAAGGAAGCATGTAGCAAGTTGCATGATAGAAACCGATTTCCTTCTTGAACAGCCTGCACTGTGTTTGCTACTCTCATTCATCTAAATACGATTTTTTCTGCTTGTCTGAGTTAAATGCATATAAATCCTTTTACAAGGAAATAGCTGCAGTAGAATCACACACCAGAAAGGACATCCATACTGCCTTCCTAAAACAGGACATACGGGCATCCCATTGAAGCACAAACTTGTATGAAGAATTTCTGCAAAGGAACAAAAAGACTGTGTGAAGAGGAAAGAAAGAATGCACTTAAATCTTTTGGTACATAGACTGTGGTCCTTTCATTGGTGGAGGGTTGTGGGAATACAAGAAAGACTACTGAAAGCAGAAGCTGTGGAGCAAGATAAACAGCAGGAGAAAGCAAGACTAAGAACCAAGGACACCTCCAGAAGAGCCAAAACAAAAAGCATGTGAGGTATGAGATTGCTGAGTGATAATGACCCTGACTGGAGAAAGAGCACATGGCATAGAGCAGCTCATGACTGACTGGATAAGCGTTTGCATGCATGGCTAAGGACAGTTTGTGGAATGTTTTGTTGACATAAGGGCGAGTGGGAAAGTTAGAAGAGAAAACTAGTGAATGTACATAAAGGATATTAGAATCTGTAATAGACAGTTTGAATTGTTCACATCTGAGTCCGTGCCTCAGATACTGCAGAGGGCAATTTTGACCTCCTTCCACTTACAGGAAAAGAGTGCATGAACAGTACTGCCTTTCTTCCAGCCTGCTGATTCACCACCCCAAATATCAGGTGACAAGCAGCATAAGACTGCTATCTGAGAAAAAGCTGACTCTGAGAGAGCTTTGTTGATAGAAAGACACCCTAACACTAATATTAAATGTCTGTCAAATTGTGCAGGGATTTGTGCCAAATTGTGCCAAGGCAGCTGATGCTGTTAGACAGCAAAAAAATGTGGGTAGTAACTTTCAAATTTTGTCTTCCGCTGTATCATTCAGATTCAGTCCATTCAGGACTAAAGGGAAATAATTTTTCCTAAGATCTAAGGCACATTCCACATTTGCTGAAGAATGAAGCAGTCCATCTTTGCGAGAGAACACTTGGCTGGTTGTACAAGGACATATGTAGATAACTGCTCTTCAGAAGGTAAGAAGAAATGAGCAATTTTACTAGGCAATCAATCATTGTTCTAAACTACAGGTCAGAGGCGGACTGCACTGAGTCTTGAGTTTCCATTCAGAACTTGGCCAAGACTGGTGTCATCAAAAAGGAGCAGATGCAAAGGGAGAGATCTCAAACAGTGGCAGGTCCAGGGATGAAAGAAGGCCATAACAGGTATTAGATAGCTGAAAAGAGGCTTTGAAGGAAGGCATCAATACCACAATCACAAGGAATAGGATCTACTCAGTAGAAAAAAAAGTCTGATAAGAAAAAATTTAAAAATAGAGGTAACAAGCAGTGGTGCAATAAACATACAGCAATAATTAAAGCCAAATCAACTGTTATTTACTTTTTTAATGGCTGTTTTAGCTCAGAAATATCATTTTCCATTCAAAAAAAAAAAAAAATTAACAAAAATTAAAGAATCCTTAAAGTGTTTTCTCTTTGAGACAAATTACAAACAGAAACTATCTAAACCCCTATTCCATCATTGGCTTCTATGCAACCTGAATACTTACTTGAATACTAGCTCTCAGTGGAAGAATTCCAACATCTTAACATGAGATTGGTGGATCTTGCATGCTATAACACACATTTAACTGAAGTTCTTAAGTAAATTTTAGCCAACTCAGTCTTACCATTCACATGGAAACACTTTTCACCTGAATTTTCAAGTGTTTGAACCCAAGATAAGTTTAGCAAAGTGTCGTGCAAATTAGAACAGAAG